GTTTTAATAAAACTTGCTAATAAAAGTCTGAGAGACCTTGTGGCGAGCTCAGCCACGCCGTTCCTCTGCCGGTACATGAAGAGGCTCATGCGGTCGGCCCTCATCATGAAGCTGAGGTGTTTCATGAGCTTGAATACGGAGCGCTCAGTCTGCAAGTTGTCCTGTATGTCCCGTACCAGGTCGAAAAGAATCTCACTCTCATCAACCATGGTCAGCTCATGGAAGGTCCGGACGTCCAACACAGGCTGGCGGTTGCTGTCCAGCAGGTCTGAGATGATTTTGGGCTTCAGGTTTATGTCATAGTACTGCTTTGCAAATGCTGGGTTGGCGTCCAGGAACTGCTCTGCTGCAGCTGCATCCACCATGGCTGCTGCTGCAAAAATAATGTTGTAAAACACATTATATAGTATGTATTAGTACGTACTCCTGTAGTGTACTAGTATGTACTCCTGTATGAAGATGCATTTAAAGCTGAAAAAAGTAGATTTGCCTTTTTATAACAGGAGCATTATCTCAAATGGAATTTTCAGGACATAATCCGACAAACGTGTGAATATTCAGAGGAGTTAAATCACCAAACAATCCAACTCAAATGAAATCATATCACATTTTAAGGAAGAATACTGAATTGATCCAAACGTCCAAACTCCTTTTTGCCTGGGGTGTAAAAATGTGCCTGAGAGGCCAGTTTATTGTAGTCACTCTTCAAAGCAGAAGACAAACACATAGTAATCATAGAAGAACTGTTTTTATTTTCCCAAGTCGTTGAACAAGAACATAGCCGTTTAAATTAAGCCAGTATCTTTAGTCATAAATTTCAAGTTTATCTCCCAGCGCCTGTGGTGGGACGATGATGGTGAAAGCCTACAGTAAAAGAGCTGTAACAAAGAGTGGCCTTACAGGGTCATCAAATAAATGGCGGATCAGAGGACATACCCCCAAAAAATTACCTCTCCTACCATTATAAATAAATGCATGTAATCTGCAAAATATACAGGAATTTGACTTAAAGACTGTACTTGGCTAAGATATCACTTAGATGGAGAATTATAAAAGGGGGTCTAAAACCATATCATGCCCATTTTTCCAATGGTAGAAGAGCTGTGATGGTATGGGACTATGTTTTTCCTTAGGTCCTGGAAACTCTTAAAAATTCAGCACAATTCAAATAAAATCTGGATTAATTCGCCCAAAATCCTAAAATATGCCGTCTCTACTGGTACTAATCCAGAAAATGTGGTCAAACCAACATAAAAAAGGGTTTAAAAACATCATCCTCTCTGTGTGAAAGGCATAAGAAGAGATATGAGGCTGTTTTTTTCAATATACTAGGTTGATCAAGAAAAAAAAATTGAATTCAAGGGTGAGTTTGCAACAACAATTAAAACCGTTTTTTCCCCCCTTTTAATTATTTGTTATGAGGGAGGCGATAGTGACACCTGAAATCATGTGAATATGACAGTCAGACATAATCAAATCATATTTACACCTTTTCGAATCCAGTTAGAGCTAACATAACATACTTTGCAATAAAAACAACAAAGGTAAATAAAGTAAATAAATAATAAAGTAAATAAATAGATACCATCACTTCAAAGTAGTGATATCTTCTATTTAAGGAAATAGTTCCTCATCAAAAAATTTAAAATCTACTCAAACTGGAGCTGTAACATCACATAATCAACTTTCTTGAGATTAATAATAAAATGTTATAGTTATACCAATTTTAAAACATTGTGAACCATTAGGTTGATCTCAAGGGAAAAAAAGAGAATGTGAATTTGAAGTGAATATTGTTACCTGTTAATTCCTTGTATGATCCCCCAGCAAAGTGTGTAATCCCTCTGTCCTCCTTAACGGCCAAGGTGCAGTTGTCTGAGAAGAGAAAGGGGATTACAAGGATGGTTTTAAATGGTCATGTGTTGACATAATCCTGCATCCAATTACAAACATGTGGATTACAAAACCAGCCAATGTTTAATGAAACTATAAGGGATTCTACTGTCTGTCTCCAAACAATTAGCCCTAAAGGATCTTAATATAAACACCTGCTTTGAAAAAATGCTGTGTATATGAAATGAAAAATAGAATAAATTTTAAAATAAATGGAAAAATAGAACCTTAAACCATCAATCAACTTTGTATTTCTTTCTTTACAGTGAAACACTCTCACAGACTATTTGATTTATTGACTAAAGCTAAGAAAAGCCAATAATTCCTTTAACGACTCCCTTTTCAGAGGCATAGGCCAGTGTCGGGTATTGCAGGCCAACAACCACCTGGACCACTCCCCATTACTGGAGATGCTTTTTGGTTCAATTTGCATGTTTTCTAAGCCATAACAAGGCTTTAACCTTCCTCTTGTGTTAGCTTTCTGCTGCCATATGTAGTGTTAGCTGGTCATTTTGGACCCGAGTATTAAATCAGCCATAAAATACCCTAAAAACAATCTTTTATCATCCAATGTATTTCTTAACTCTTGTTTAGCTGATTGGGCTCCCTTATCTATGAAAGGATTGGTTTTAATATTTTTTTGTGGCCCCCTGGGCCTTTGTTTTAGCAGCATACCCCTCGTTTTCAATGTCTAAAAAGTGGTCAAATGAACCTTAAGAGAAGAAGTTACCTGAGTGCAACTGAGAGATATTAAAACACATTTCATAAATGTTCAACAAAATAAAGATTTTTAATTTTAATATTATCAAATATAGTAACATCTATGGTGTTTCGGGTTATTTTGGACCCGTACATACTTCAAGAAAAGGGCAAAAACAAGTATTTTTTCCCCACACAATAGAACATGAATAAAATATTTATATTTGTGTATATTTACACTTTTGGAGTGTTCTTTGCAGATATATTTGTTGCAGGTGAAGCACACTATGAAGGTTTTTCTGTCCATATTGCTAGGGCAGACCTGACACCTCTTTGTTTTTGAGTGAGGTGGTCTCACTGGCATTGTGGCTGTGGATGGAGTGCTTGAGGCAGAGCTGGCTGCAGAGGGGGAAGGTGATGCTGATGCTCTTCTTGTTGCTGAGGATGTGGATGGCGTGTTTGGTGACCAATGCAGCCGTCTGACCAAGTCTGCAGTAGCTGGGTCTCGGGGCACCCGTTCCCGTTGCTCAATGTGCGGCTTGACAAGGGAATTCCCGAGCTCCTCAAGAAACATTCTCCGCTTAGTGTTTTGGGTTGAATTCCACCCTTGGTGAATATGGGTCCACAACACAAATGCATTGTATGCAGACACATTGAGGATGTTGTAAAACACAACCATTGGCCATCTCCTGGTCATTCGCTGGCAAGTGTAGGTGGCAGTCAGCTTGTCCAGATTGTCCACTCCTCCTGTCCTTCACCAGCCACATTTCAGCGGGCAGCTCAGGTTTATTTTTTTATGGTGCCCACTATGGTGAGTTTCCTCCTGAGAAGTTCTTGTCCAAGGTCATAGCATGTAAAAAAATTGTCACAAGTGATGTTGTGACCCTGCAGTCCAGTAGTCAAATCGAGGACTACCCGTTTTCCTTGGTTTTTTTCAAGGATGCCGCTTGCAGATTTTCCTGTGTAAATCTGTAGGTTCCACGCATAGCTTGTTTTAGCATCAAAGGCTGCCCAGATTTTTATGCCATATTTTGTTTGTTCTCGCAAAAAGGCAAAGACAAAAGGCCCTAAATGAAGCTCAAGTGGTTGGAGGAAGAGGCTGTTGGTTGATTGTGTGTTCATGATTACATTTTAGGCATTTTTTATTGTTTTATAATCAAAACTTTTAACCGGGTCACAAATGACCCAAACACCACAAAAGTCTTTTTTTTCACCAGAGCACTTTATAATTTAGTTAAAAAAATAAAATTTGATTTTACTTTGTTTAAATGGAAGTCCTTGACAAAGTCAAAAAGTTTCAACGCAAAAAACAAATGTATGAAGTACTTTTATGCATGCTCCGTAGGGACCCTAACACCATAGGAAGGTTAATGGGCTACTCTATAAGCCTTGAACTCGACGCTAATCCAGACATCTTGAATTGAAAAGGTTTCCTGGATGGGAAGCGAAACATCTTTAAACTGGAAAACAAAGTCCAGTGGTTTGGTTTTTGACCTTTTTTTGGAAGGACTATGACCTGGATGACTGAGAATCTTCACCAGCACATTCCCTGCTCAATATTTGTGGTAGAGAGATATATATGCTTTTCTGGAAAAACAAAACATATTTCAAGAGCGGTTCTCTGTTCCAGTTTTGAAATGTTCTAAATAGATTTAAGCAACACATCAAGTTTTCTTGTTCTGCTTCTACATTAATGTGTAATTTTTTCAGGTTAACAAAAACACAAATAAATTTAGTAATTAACTTACTGTCTGTTTATGTGCAGGACTTTCCTGATGGTGTTTTTTATATATTATATGACTGTGTCTAAAAACTGTTAATTCTGTAATAAAGTGCTAGAAAGTTGATTATTATAGTTGTCATTATCATTAATAGCTAAGATGGCTGCGTCAGTCATGGAATATAAAGATGTACAGAACAAGTAAATGTGGTGTTACAGAAACAAAAGTGGTCACACAAATATGGACCATAAAAAAGTGTATAAAAAGAATATGTGACTGAGTTAAAACAAAAATAGACAAATAAAACGCTGTACTGTACAATGTTTTTATGATATAAATACTGTGCATCTGGAGAATAATGAGTATAAATAAATAATCAATATAATAATAACACTAACTGAAGTGGAGAGGAGGAAGAGAAAAAGATTACTATCTATCTATCTATCTATCTATCTATCTATCTATCTATCTATCTATCTATCTATCTATCTATCTATCTATCTATCTATCTATCTATCTATCTATCTATCTATCTATCTATCTATCTATCTATCTATCTATCTATCTATCTATCTATCTATCTATCTATCTATCTATCTACTAAAATTGTTCTTAATACTACTCCAGTACAGTAGGTGGCAGTATGCCTCTTAGAGTCACGGTTGCCGTCTGCCGTAAAGCAAAAAGAAGTGTAGGGAACGGAAGTGTCGTGAGGGACTATGGAGAGTCCGGAGTTATCTTTCACTCTGGCTTACACTGTGTTCGCTGTTTGCCTTATTTTCACACCTAATGAATTCCGCGCTGCGGGTTTAACCATCCAGAATGTGTTTTCATCCTGGCTGGGCAGCGAGGATATCAGCTTCATCGAGCACCATCTGAGGAGGACCAGCCTCACTGTTCTTATCCACAGCTGTTTGCCTCTAGGTGGGTTCTGTTGACAGAGGAGATAGAAACAGGTGACGTAGACAGGTTTCACCTACAGCAGGAATAGTCTGGGCTTTTTACCTCTGGGCTGTTTGTGTTCTTCTCTCCAGGATATTACTTGGGAATGTGTGTTGCTGCCCCAGAACAAAACCTGATTCACATTCAACAGGTAAGAGATCAACATTAAACATGTTTTAGATTACATTGGTTCTCTAATACAACTCTATCTGAGCCTGTTTAACCAGGAACAACTGATCAAACAAATGGCTAAGACAAAAGACACAATAAAGTTAGGTTTTTCTCCTTTTTTATTTGCATGCTGCCTAAATTGAAACTAGGGGTTTTATTATTTCATTATCTATTATTCTAATATCTGTATTGATATCTGATCAACTTATCTGACTGTGTAACACCACTAGCTGCAAAAACATTTGGTGTTATATTATTTGTTTGTTGTGAAGTATGATTCTTTTACAGCATTTTTCACAATTTCCTTTCCCTTTAAATGCAGATCGCCTTTTAAGGTGATGATTGTAATAAAATCTAGTGTTTGGAAGTTATGTTAGTCCTTTTTCTTTTTTATTATGAAATTTAAAGGAGAAAAACTCTAGTAATCCGGAGATTTTTAAAGGCTGTTTTAAAAAGCTGTGATCTGGCAGAAAGGTGGTCTGCTGCTTCATCTAATTGTAATGAATCAGTAACTCACGGATATAAAACAAACTGTTTTTCTAACAAACAAATGGGCTAAACAATGATTAAATGTCAATATATAACTATATAACTGCATATAGAACTATATAACATAATAGGAAATTTGAATTAATTACGATCAATATATATATATATTTTATTTTTTTCTTTTTTTTTTTTTTTTTTCTTTTACTAAATATGCAAGAAGAAAGTCAGGCTTGCATTAGGGCTCATAGAGCAACAAATATGCGATTTTCAGCCCAACCAATGTTACACATGCTATTCAGAGACCCTAAGGAACCCCACCAGATACCCTATATCAGCTGTCTTCAACGTTTTCCAGGCCAAGGGCCCCCAAACTGATGGCGAGATGGAGCGGGGAACCCCTAATTATATATATATATATTGATGAAATTGTTTTATATCAAACTGGTCCTATAGTCGCTCTATTACAGATTGAGTAATGTAACAAAAGTAATTTCTTCCTGCGATTATTAAAGTATTTCTGATTCTGATTCCTGGTTGATGGTACAGTTGTTGTGAATGAAACGGTGCCCAGCTTGAAAGAGCTCCTGTGTGTCGCTGAATGTGTGCATTAATGACTGAAATACATCTTCTGCCTCCATTTATCTGTTTACTACAGTGTGTTGAATTCATGTTAATGTGGATTTAAAGACATTTCAATTAGTGGAAAAAATTGCAGGGGGAATATAAAAAAAAGTCTAATCAACCAAAACTTGTGCGACCCCCTTGCAGTGCCTTTACGGAGCCCCTGTTGAAGACCTCTGTCCTATATAGTGATTCTATAACCCCTTTAATTTTTTTTACAGCTTTTATTGTCATTACACTGTCACCAGTACAGTGCAATGAAATTCACTCTCTGCATTGAACCCTTGGGGAGCAGTGGGCTGCCATTTGTGGCGTCCGGGGAGCAGTGTGGGGTGAAGGGTCTTTGCTCAGGGAGCCAGAGTGGCAACCTCAGGATTCCAAGCTCTATGCCCTAACATTAGCGCTATCATTAATGTAAAACACTCCAGTATGTAAGATTTGTAACCAGAATTAAACAAAGATTGTCTAGGGTTGGTAAATGCTGTGGATTGGCCCTTTAAGTGCTGAAATGTAAGCTGTGAATCAGAAACCAGCTTCTGCCTCATGTGAGCAAAGAGGTTTTATTTAACTTAAAGATGTTTCATGATCGATGTGACCGCCATGTTCTGCTAGTTCAAAAGTAGCAAACGCCACTACTGTCCTAAATGACATGATGTTTTTGGGTCTACTTATTTGCCCATTCCGCCAGCTTATGAGAAATGGAAAATGTCCAACAAACGAAAAAGCAAATGTAAAGGGTTGAAATGGACTATATATATATTTTTGTCTAGAAGTCCAGCCATACTGTTGGACTTAAGTTCAATAAAAAAAATTCAGTTTTATCCTATTCTATAATTCAAATAGATTATAAAATAAGTCTTTAATCTGATCTCAATTTTCTTGTTTTCCGCCAGGTCAGTGACAACTGGAGAGCTTTCCTCTTTCTCTCTGTGAGCCTTCAGTTGACCAGCTGGCTGCTGGTCATTTACTGGTACCGCTGCCGCTGGCGTCACCATCCCATCAGCAGGACACTTGTAGCTCACGCACAGCCTCCCTATTCCAGCCCTGGTGACGTGGCAGCAAACATCAACACAGAGTTCAGACGGATAGATAAAGTTGTGACAGGAGTGCCTGGAGCCCAAGTTATTGTTACCGACAGCTGGATACTGAAGGTGGGTGTTCAAATGCTCACCTCCTCAGAAATAGGTCAGTTAATGACACTGGAAAAATGATCTAGAAAATAGTAAAAATGTCCTAAATTAAATGTATTTACCCTTAAAGGAATAGTACACCCAAAACATGATTAGCCTTCATTTTCTACTCACCCCCATGCTGAACAAAACTCTGGAGTACTTTTTTGATATCTCAAATGCATCTGGAGATCTGGGAGGCTTCTTGCTGTCTGCTGACATTCAAATAATGGAGGTCTATTGTGCCCGAGACAGAAAGGTCCACAAAAGTCCACAAAAACGTGTCAATATTCCTCCATACTGCTCGTCCAATGTAATCCAAGTGTCCTGAGTGGGTAGCATCCAGAATTTACTCGAAACGAAGTCATTTAGAATGTTTTTAGAGCCTAAACAGTAGTGTATAGGATTTCCTAATAGCGCCCCCATGCGCGCTCACGATTCTACGGAAGCCGGCAGACCAAACCGGAAGGAAGTGCGCATTCAGCGTCTGCTCTGCCGATAATGCAAGCGTAGAAGAAGAAATGTGCTGTTTACCTGTGCAAAGAAAGAAACAACGAAAGAAAAATGTCTGAGGACTTCAGTGTTGAGGAAGAGCATGAGTTCTTTGCCGAGCTGAATGCGCTGGTTTGGTCTGCCGGCTTCCGTAGCGCCGTGAGCGCGCATGGGGGCGCTATTAGGAAATCCTATACACTACTGTTTATGCTCTAAAAACATTCTAAATGACTTCGTTTCGAGTAAATTATGGACGCTACCCACTCAGGACACTTGGAATACATTGGGCGAGCAGTATGGAGGAATATTGACACGTTTTTATGGACTTTTATGGACCTTTCTGTCTCGGGCGCCATAGACCTCCATTATTTGAATGTCAGCAGACAGCAAGAAGCCTCCCAGATCTCCAGATGCATTTGAGATATCAAAAAAGTACTCCAGAGTGTTGTTCAGCATGGGGGTGAGTAGAAAATGAAGGCTAATCATGTTTTGGGTGTACTATTCCTTTAATTTGAGCAGGTAACTGAGATAGTTTGCCAATGGAATGAGTAATTTTACTCTTAAAATAAGATAATTAGATAATATGCACTGAAAATAAGACAATGCAATTGTGTTTTCTTATTTTAAATATAAATTATCCTGTTCCATTGGCAAAATGTCTCTTTTACCTCCTCAATCCAGGAACAAATGCACTTTTTTAGGCTTAACTGGCTTTTAACTCAAGATCATATGTTTATATATCTACTTATCGCATTAAGAAGGTTGAGGAGGGTCTGTCAATCTAGTTTTTTTCCCCTTTAATTGCCAGCTTATATGCTTTTTTACCCAGTGTGCACTGCATCAAATTGTTCTCTATATTCTCAGCATATAGGATCGATGAAAAAAATGGCATAATTAGAGTTCTGTTCATTTTGCTGCGCTGGCACTGCCTACATTCACACTGGTATTTTTTATTCATAAAGTAGGCTATACCCCTCCTTTCATTTGGACCATTTCTTTGAGCAGTTTCCATTTTCTGTTGGGCACAAAAAGTTGGGTTTCAAACTCCTACGAATAACTGTTGCAGAAATCTTTGAGCTTTTCTGGAAACGATGCCATTTTCTTTTTTAATTTCACCTAAATTGGATTATTTTTGTGAATGTTGTAGGGCCTGTCAACACAGCTGTCCCCCAAAAATATAACACAATATTAGTGTTTTTCCAGTCACTTTTCACACATGTCTGATTCTTGACTAGATTCCCAGTTTAATTCAGAATCCTAGCCAAAGCTTCCATGGATCTGGAATCCTTTCTTGACAGCATTTTAATTAAGGATGCAAAATAGCAATTGAGCTAATTGAATGCCATAAATCTCCCCTACTTTCAGCTCCTCCGCATGCAAAGAAAGATAGCAGCGTTTGCAATCCGGTCATTCAAATCACTTTCTTGTGAAATACTTTGGTTTCCAGTAGCAATTTGATCAGAACTGATAATCTCCAGGAAAAACTGGGGCCTAAAAATGAAGATGGATGGAAAATCTAAGTTTTAATACATGGAAAAAACAACAGAGCTGAAAGGACAAACAAAAGTAAACCATCCAATTGGAAATTGAAGCTCAACCAGTAAGAGAGACGATATTAAAAAGGTTTAATTTATGGAGGACCCGCTCTACCATATTTAAAAATAAATACATAAATAAATAACTGCTCGATAAATGAATAAGCATGCAATTAATACAATAAATAGGGTAATTATTACAATAGCAAATAAATAAAGATGCTACCTAAAAGAGATTAGCTCTGTAATTAATATAAGATCTCTGTAAGGAAAATCCTTTTAATCTATAATTGTATTACTCACCCAAATCTTGATTAAATGTTTCTAACTGAGACATGGCTAGATGAAAATAAGGAGACGCAGATTTTATGAGAGATGACACCTCATGTACAATCTTCTCCATCAGACTAGACTGTTTAAAAAAGTGTGAAAACTCATTATTCTGTTTAATGATTCACTAAAGTGTAGAAAATTGATTTCGGGTGACTGAATTTTTTTTTTAAACATCTGGCCGTCCAAGTGCAAGGCTCTGTTCGAGACATGTTTATAGACCTTCAAAGTCCCCAAAAAACCCCAATATTTTTAACGGTTTCAATGAACATTTATCTGTGATATGCGTCGAACACGACAACTTAATTATTGTTTGAGGAATTTAATGTACATATTGACAACCCTGAAGACAGAGCTGCAAATTAACTGTGTGACATAATTAAAAGTTTTAGTTTTGACTCAACATGTTAACCCTTTAAAGGGCAAGTTAGTGTTTTTGATCACTAGCATCCCCTTTACAAATGGACCTCCCCCCGTCCCTCAGTGAGGTCTAGAAGCACAAGATCTATATCCACCTATTCAGCAAAGTTCCTGCTATGTGGCGGTACATCTTATTTTGGCATTTCACCCATTAGATGAGCCCTTGAATGATATATTTCCTACTGTAAATTAAGTTTAAGTCTTTCTGCGTGGAGTTTGCATATTCTCCCTGAGCATGCGTGGGTTCCCTCCCAGGGTACTCCTGCTTCCTCCCACGGTACAAAAACATGACTGTTAGGATAAATTAAGTTGAAAAATAGGTTGTCAAGTTAAGAAAAAAAAAGTAAAAAGTTACAAAGTAAAGTTAAAAGTTAATAAGCCTAGTTAACAACTATATTTAGATTTATAAACTAAAAATAAGTGCCAGTATCAGCATTAAGCAAAAAAAAAGAGTGTTTTTCATGAATTTCTTATAGAATCACTCTAGTTATTTTTCTTAATATATTCAGGAAGTTGGCTTTTCTTATTACATTGACATTGAATTTTGCCATCAAAATATCCATATTTTTTTATGTTACAAAGGTAATAAGATTCCAATAACACTATTGGCTTGAAAAATGGATTTTCAGTGTATTTAACTGAGTTTCCTATAAAGGGTTAAACAGCCAACTCACAATCAATGACATATTTTAAAACTTGGTCATCAGCAAAGATCCAAATATTTTTAACAATTCTGTAACTGGTGTCTCCCTATCAGACCGTTTTCAGTACTTTTTTTTAACCCAACTTCCCCACTGATCTAATTACCAAAAGAGATGTTAAAAGAAAGCGTGTTATCATGGACAGTACAATGAATAACTTTACACAGCCTCCTGCTTCCACTTCACCATGTAACTCAGTAGATGAGCTGGTTGATTGTTTCCATTCTAAAGTTTCAGACCTCATTGATTCCATTGCTCCAGTTAAAGATTAAATCTCCATGGAGAAATGCTCCAGCAGTGAGAAAAGAAAAGGGGGAGTGCTGAAAAAGCCAAACAAAGGCGATGAAAGAACGGACTCCAGGTTCATTATGAAATCTATACAGATAAACTTCACATATATAAGTTAAAAACTAAAATATACAAGATGATCCTTCTTCTCTGTAGCCTCGTGAGACCCTCCTGATCTCGCGAGCTTTCAAGGTTTCACTCGTTATTCAGTCTGGAGACTCTCCGTTGAAGAAAATTTGGAGCCGTTCACCAAACAGACGTCCAATCAGCGTTGGCTTTGAGGCGGGTTGAGGTGTGACGCAACGAGAAGCGCGACAGTTCAGTCTAAAGAACATGGCGGCTACAGCCGATGAAACTAGCGTTAGCGTGGCTATCGAGCAAGTTTTATCGGAATTACAGAGTATTTCTTCACTGAAAGAAGAGCAAAACACTGCTCTTGAGGCTTTTCTCAGAGGAAAAGATGTTTTTCCTCTTCTCCGGACTGGTTTTGGCAAGAGTAGCCTGGCTTGTGGTTGTGTTTTTGTCGTCGCTCTGTTACGTCATATGCTTCGTTGATCTGATTGGTTTATTTGGCCCGTCTATCACCAACATAGGCCAATCGGCTAACCAGTATTTTCGCCCCTTCCCAAAATTACTTCAACGGAAGGTTTCCAGATGGATATGCGGAGCAAATCCATCTGGCAGAATCAGGTTATCTTTTCTGGGATAATCAACAAAAACATCAACAATGCCCTCGCCTTATTTGCCACAGTCGACAGGTTAACAAATCATCCTATTTTCTGTGGCCTCACTAAAAATGCCTGCAATGACTTTCTAAAACTTTTACTGAGAAAATATAAGGTATCAGAAAAGCAGTCTGCACATCAAAGCCGACTCCAGTACCAAGTATGTCTCCAGTTAGAATAAAATCTGCTAAAATGCCCTAATTCTGCCAAATAAACTGCAAAAGTTTATAAGAAAATACTCAGCAGCTAAACTTATCTTCCTCCTGTCTTGATGTTTTAGCCACAGGATTTATTAATAAGGTTTTAACTTTTAAACACATCCCTTATGTTGGGTGTTTTCCCCCCAGGCCTTTAAAAGAGTGATTAACAAACCAGTGTTGAAAATGCTTTTTAACTGAGACTGCCCTGGTTAAGGTGTTCAATGACATCCGTAGAAATTCAGACTCTGGAAGAACCACAGTGCTGGGATTATTGGACCTGCAGGATATGATACTGTTGATTTTATTAGAGCATCTGGAAAACTGGGTCAGCCTTTCTGGTTCCACGGTGGACTGGTTTAAATCCTACCTGAAGAACAGGGTCTTCTATGTCTCAGTAGGGAACTTTAAACCAGAGACCAGAAAAATCACATGTGTGGGTTCCTCAAAGCTCCATTCTGGTGCCCCTCCTATTCAACATCTACATGCTTCCCTTAGCTCAGATTATAGCAAACAACAAGATCAGTTACTATAACCACGCAAATTAGTGTTTGGATGCACCATCATTTTCTCCTGCTGAACAAAAACATAACTGAGGTAATAATCTTCAGACCAAAGGAGGAGAGATCCAGAGTTAGCTCACAGCTTCTGCTACTAGAGCTAGAAACCAGGGATTATGGCTGAAATCTTGGTGTCATGATGGACCTGAACCTTCAGAGGAACATAAAGGCAGTTACCAAGCATTTTATTTTATGGATGTGTGTGAGAATGTACTATTTTTATTTATTAGTTGTTTTGTATCAGTTATTTGTTATTTATTTCTTATATTGTGTGTAAATGATGGGACAGTGATTTTTGTTTTTAAGCATATGCACTGATTGATGGCACTTTTTTAAACTTCGTTTAATGACAATAAAGATAAATTAAGAATTGAATTGATCACATGAAGACCTTCTCCAGGATTAAAGGACTAATGTCCAAGCAGGATCTAGAAAACTCATTCATGCATTTATCTTTAGTAGAATTGATTATTAATTAATACAACAGTGTCTTCATAAGTTTGCCTTAAAAAGTCCATCAGACAGCTGCAGATGATCCAAGACGCTGCTGCCTGTGTTCTCACTAGAACTAAAAAAGTAGAGCACACCCGCCCGGTTCTGAAGTCTCTCCACTGACTCACTGTAGCTCAGAGAATAGACTTTAAAATCCTTCTATTAGTCTATAAATCCCTGAATGGATCAGCACCTCAAAACATAACAGATTTGTTGTCAGTGTATCAACCTCCCAGACCACTCAGGTCTTCTAGTTCCAGCCTACTCTGTTCACCCAGAACTAGAACTAAACATGGAGAAGCAGCATTTAGTTCCTTTGCTCCACTTATCTGGAACAAACTCCCAGTAGACTGTAAAATTGCTGAAAGCCTGAGTTCATTGAAGTCATTGTAGAAAATCCAATGGTTTACACCTGCCTTTGACTGTTGAAGTTAAACTGCTATCTGAGGTGTTATTAGTTCACGCTTGTGGTCTAATTGTTTCACTACCTGCTTTTCTGATGTTTTTTTTTTTCTATCTTTATTTGCTTTGTTTTTTATTTTCTATTCTATTGTCCAATTCATGAAAAGCACATTAAATTGTCCGTGTTAGCAGAACATTGATGTAATTTTGCACACATTTGTAATAGAAAGGCAACCAGTACTTCTAACTATTTCTTTTATATCAGATTTATACCAAAGAGGCGTGACCAGGGTCTCTATTGTTGCAGCAAAAATAAGTGGGGGGGAGCAGACAGCAGCCTTCACCTCTTTTTGCTCTAACAATAATGCCACACTGGAGATGAGAAAACCTTGAAATATTATTGTTAGTGCAGACAACAGCTAGATGTGGAGAATAGAGAATTTCTATCTTACAAAATCAAAGTTAAAATGTCCCAAAGAATTTAAAAAAATGACCCGACTCAACTCAATCAGAATCATTTTTAGCATTAAATGTTGTAATTACTTCTGTCTTGGATCAAATCAGATTAGAGGGAATATTTAAAGTCTCTGTATGTTTGAGGACAGTTGATGTTTTTAGATTAATCCAGTCTGATCATCTTAGATCAAGTTTTTTAAGCATCAAGAAAGCATTTATGCACGTATTTTACCGACCACATTTAGGAGTGATGTAGGATTATAAGATCCACATTCCAGTGGACTTTTATCCTTTTTTTTTTAAGATGAGAGGAATTGTCCTCTGTCTCATGTAGATATGTGCCTATTCTGGCAACATGACAACCTAAAGGATCATATCACAGTGTTATGGTTACAGCAGCTCTTTTTTATTATTATTTGTTATATGATCTTTGATTCTTAGCAGCTGACTATCTCCTTTTCTGTTTGTAGGTGACCACATATCACATCTATATGGCCTTACAAAGTGATTGTCATGTGACGGTGACAAAGTCCAGGCAGCATCAGCTGAACCCAGATTCTCAGTCCCCCATAGAGATCCTGACGCTGAGGGTGGAGAGCATCAACCCTGCAGTCAGACCATTCGATATCTGGTGGGATTACTTCACCGTGCTACAATTAAAATATATATTTACAGTGAACCCTCGCTATAACGCGGTTCACCTTTCACGGCCTTTCTGCTTCACGGATTTGCATTGCTCATTGTGTTCTGTATTCTGATTGGTTAAACATTCTCCATGCTTCTCTACCAATAATGTGTCAACAACCTTACAGTTTAATATTTTAATATACATGTACATTTACCTAAAACAGCTTGCCAAATTTAAGTGTGCCAGTTTCCCTTAAAACCACTCATGTCAACGAAACGTCCTGCACAGATAAAGGCACTTGCGGACGGGCCCAAAAGGCAGAGAAAGAGGCTAACTATTGCAGAAAAGTTAACCTTCTAGACATCCTAAAGGAGGGTAGAAGCTACACGGCTGTAGATCACAATTACGGAATGAATTAATCTTCCGTTGTTCCAGAAAGAAAGAGGAAAATAACATAGGGACGACAACATCCATACGAGACCACGGTATGGATGGGATCTGCATTAGCTTTGTAAATTAAAGGTAATGTGCAGGATTTTCGTGATTTTTTTTTAAAAAACACCTGCCCTCTCTACTTAAAAAAAATGCACCTGCACAACCCTGTACCTGCTCTCGAGAGGGAAAGCGTATTAAATGCGTGCAATAGCGTGCCTGAGCCCATTTCTCCTCGTGCAGGCGCTGTTTAAAATGTTCTGTCCCATAGCTCATACTAGCTTACTGTGTCCGAGCGTTCGCCCTAATCCCTAAATCCCTTAATCACTATATGTAGCACGGACTATGTAGTGGACTTTATCGCAAACTCGGTTAACTGACCATTCGGACAGATGATCACTGTTTTTTGCTCCCCGTCGGTCACCTAACTCGTCCTACACCGCACCGTGTCTGCGCCATCTTTGTTATTAATCGCTAAGTAGCAACAGCCTCTGGCGACAGCGGGCCACTGTGACAGGAAATCCTGTAATGCATTCCGGGATATGTCTGCCTCTTCTGAGGCCTTTCTTTTCTTCTCATAGACTTCGTCTCGTACGACCCTCGACCATTTTCAAAGAACCGTAGTGAGAAAGGTGAGCTACAGTGAGTGTCTGAAACTGTAGCTCACCACAGATATAGGTCTGAAAGCCCGCATGCGCAGAAAAAAGCCCCATTTACACTACCCTTGAAAAACCGATCCAGGCCGAGACCGGTCCGAGCTTGGATCAGTAACCAGGCCAAGCTCAGTTTTGACGACCGTTCACACGTCACACTTATCTCGGTTATCTCGACTCCTCGCCTCCTAGTGACGATGTGCGGTATTACTGCTAGGATTGAAGGAGGGACTCAAGCAGCTGGTGGCGGTAATGCACCAAACGCTGTTTGTCAACCGCCGTAAAACCCAAGAAGAAGAAGACGAAGGAGGAGGGAATCAAGCAAATCAAAATGGCGGCGCCCGTCACATTCAGAAAGTTATGCTTGATTATTATTGCTGTACTTCCGTGTTTGCGGTGGGTCAGGCGAAGACGGCAACCTTGCGCGGATGTACTTGAATGGAGTGTGAATCGGCATGTTCAGCCAGTCGGCGATGACGCGTTCTGCTCATGCGCTCTTGTTATCAGAGAACCGAGCCAGGAAAAAACCGAGCCGAACCCACCTCGGGAACTGGTCTGCAGTTAGCGCGGTCCGGTTATGTTTATCTCGGTTCAGTTCAGGTTGTTTCCGTTCACACACGACAAGTTATCTCAGTTACTGAGCTCGGACCGGTTTCGGCTCAGTTTTTTAAGGGTAGTGTAAACGGGGTAAAAGATAGCTAACTGGGGACCAGAACGTAGGACAGCCTTACGTAAACGTATCACCAGAATGATTGACAATTATCAGGACCACTTATTTAGATGATCCACCCGGAAATAAAAGACCACCACTATTCCTTCAATGACTGCAGAAAAAAAGAACATTACGCTGGATATGAACATTGTCTGCACTAAAGCTAGCACACTTTATCAAACTTACAGCGATGACGTTCATGACAGGGAAGACACAGAGCCATCAACCAGGGCTGTTCACGCAGTAAAAAGCGCATTTAATGCCATCTTAGCAAGGGCTGGTTTGAAAAACTTAAGAAACACTTTGAACTTAAAAATGTTTCCCTGCACAGAGAGACTGCGTCTGGGAACACCGCTTGAGCAGAAGCGTTCGTGAACAATACATTTAAAGCCATCATTAGGGAAGGAGGATATAAGTCTGAACAAGTTTTTAATAATAATTGTAAAAAAAGAAATGAAAGGTTCCTACTTCATGGGTTTTTTGGAACGTAAGCCCTGCGAAAACGAGGGTTCACTGTAAACACATATTCCACACAAAATGAATTCATTAACAATTTGAATCCTTTTTTATTTTCTGTTGTTTCAGTCTCAACTCAACAGATTATGCAGATTTCAGGCAGAAGCTCCAGTCTCCCATCAGAACGTCTCCCAACGTTGTGATCCACCAAACATTCAGTGAGCTCTTTCTGGAAACCTTCAGAGCTCAGGTGGAGCTAAATCAGCCATACATCCTCCCCAGCGGTCAGGTAGTTTTCTGCATTTGTTTGCATCTTTTTTAAATCGTTTTTTCTTTAACCGCTGTCAAGAGTTGTAAGCAAATGCAACGTACGTCTGCAGGAAGTAGAGCCCTGTATCGGCTGCATGCAAGTTCCAGCAAATACCAAGTTGGTTAGACTCTGCCAAACAGCAGGTGAGAGCTTGGATAAAGGGAGGGAATTACTTCTGCTGGAGAAATATCATTTTCCTTCATATGGAGGGAATTTTGTTCCATTATTCCAGCAAACAGAGACACGCTTTGTAAATGAAAATTTGAAGAAAAATGCCGTCTAGAAATGAAACTTAGAAAAACTTCTTACATTTTAGAAGAATTGTGTTCTATTCTCAGATTTTATTTTATAACATTTTTTAGGTTTTCATATTTTATACATTTTACTTTTTTTAACAGTTTTTATAGTATTATTTAAATTGATATTTTTTTCAGATTTTGTTTTAGGAATTGCATTATTTTTTAGACGTTCTTTTTACTTCTGCAGGCGGGCTTTCCTCTAGAGCAGAGGTCACAGATTAGCAGACCGCGGTCCGAGTCCGGATCCACCTGCTGGCTAATCCGGAGCCACCCTGATTTAAAACATATATAAATGACTTCATGTTGTCTGAGGACAGTGTCTAAAGGTCACTTGCGCCGCTTCTCCTGTTACCCTAAAATCCAACATCCTCCATCTCCGCTCCAGACCTCCTGCGCAAAGCAAAGCCTACAGCCTCCGCGGTTCCGCCCGTATTGCTGCGCTCCGACTTATCCTCGGAGCTCGAGGAGAGCATGCGCGATATTATCAATAAATTAAGGAGCAAAACATGCAGAAATGAACGCTTAATTTAATATGACATATTAAATAATTCCCATCAGCATCCAGCATATGTGCGGTTTCTGATGGAGATGAGAAATCTGCTTCCTGGTCTGTTGAAGAACCAATAGTTTGCATCCAATCTTTTAAATAAACGGTGTTTATTGAATAAGAATTATGCTATGATTTGTAGCTACCAATCTGTTGTTACTATGTTTTAATTTGACAAACTGGGTCTTCTCGCCGTTCTTTTTCCTGTTTGGTGCAATTGCAATAGCGGATCTTGACCTGGCCAGACCGGAGCAGAGCCTGAACATTTAGAGTATGTTTGGCTCAACCTGCTGCTGTGAAGCAGGATTCTCCACCATGAACAGAATCAAAAATAAATATGGATCCAGGCTCAGAATGAGCTCCTTGATATGTCCTTTAGAATGGCTTTGTCTCCATTCAAACCCAGGTTTAAAGCCTTGCAGGGCAGCATAAAGCCCACTGCTCTCATTAAGACAGAAAATAGAAAAAAACAAACAAAAAAGAAAACGGTCAGTTCAGGTGTTTTATGAAATATGGGAATCAGGAAATTGTCTATATATCAAAAACTGAAAGATTGTTGTTCTCTACTTCAAAAAACACTTTAGATTTTGAAATTAAAGTTATTTTTTTTTTACATTTGTTTTATATAGAAATTCAATGTATAACATGGATGCATAAATACCTCTTTTTTTTTTACAGCGTTAAATTCTGTTTAAAGTAGCAGATAATAATTAAAAATATCTCCGGACCTTTACTGGTTGATGATTTTCTTAAGTCGGACCTCGCTGATTTTTAATTGGTTACCCCTGGTCTAGAGTGAAGAGCAAAGATTCGTTTCTATTGGTCTGCTGGCCTTTAGCAACAACATTTTTATTGGTCCATATTTTAGGAGTCAAATGTAATCAAATGTTTGCGCTTTGAGAGCAAACATTTTTTATTGGGCTTGAAGTGATGAGAATATTATTGGTAAAACACAATATAAAAGATTGCGACTTGTAAAATTCTATCTATAACGAGAAATTTGACTAAATTAAAATGTGAAAATGTAAAATCTGTAAAAAAAAAAATAAATAAAAAAATCTGTTAAGCAAAGTTACTCCTTTCAGGATTGTGCATTTTTTCCGAGCTTGTTTAAAAAATGTGTATTTGTTTGCAGAAATGGAACAATATTTACTCCATATATTTTTAAAAGACAAAGAGTATCACATTTACAGTCAAGGTTTAAGATAAAGGCTCTTTATCGGAGCCTCACATTAAATTATTGATGGTTTTCACAAGGTAATGAAAACACTTTTGTTCATATTGGAGTCTGTTCTTCCTCTAATATCAGTCTGTCTTCACTGCAGAAATGGAAAACGAGTCGGAGTGCCAGCAGTGTTTTTGCAGGCCCATGTGGTGCCTCTTTTGTTTGGGTCGATGGTTTGCCAGCCGCCAGGACCAACAGAGACTGGAGACATGGTTGTCCAGCAAGGTCCCCTGTCCTACATGCAGAGCCAAATTCTGCATACTAGATGTTTGCGTGGTCCGCTGACCAGACCCACAGACAATGCTCTTTTAAGGACTTCTTCCTCTCAGATCAAACCACATCTGGTTTTTTTCTTTCATCAAGATAAAAGCCTGTAAAGCAGGGCTGAATCGAATGCTGGTTCCTTTAGATAACTCATGAACTATGAATGCAGTCTTCTGTCTTAAATGATCTAAAAGGCTGGAAAAGCAAACAATACTATTATGTGTCAGCTGAGACAATGTTGATAAATACGCCAAAAATAAAGAAAATCAATCTAAAACCAAAATGTCTTTTAAGCATTGTAATATTTCATTCCCATTGCAGCAGTTTTTATGATTATCATAGATGTTTCTGTGTTTTCTAAGGGCTTCTTATATTCTCTCTGTTTGCGTCTCTTTCCTTAGCACACTACAGTTTGTGTTCTTTTAACCCGAGCAGCCATGTCAGTTCTGTGAAAAACATTATGAAACAGGCGGATCCAATTTAAAAATGAAAATGTGAGTAAAATAGAATAATCAGTTTTGTTCAAACAAATTAAATCTGAGAGGTGATGGACTTGCATAGAGGTTCTGTTCCAGTACCAAAGACTCCATTAGCCTATAGACTATAGACCTGTTGCCCTCACATCCCACGTCATGAAGGTGGAGACACTCTGTTGGTTCACCTCAGCAAACAAATGCTATCAGGACCCCCTCAGTTTGCTCATCACCGTGGAGTTGGAGATGCAATCATATACCTGCTTCAACAAACCCACTGTCATTTCTGGGGTTATCAAGGCAGACAGCACTGTGAGATCACAGTGTTTGATTTCTCCAGTGCTGGTGAAGATTCTCAGTCATCCAGGGGTCTGTTTCACCAAGCAGGTTTACCTGAAAACAGGGAAACTGACTTGTTTCTGTCACCATAGTAACATTCTCCCCAGGGCTAACCTGGTCAGTAGGTTTTCTTCGGTAAACTGGGAGTATCCTCTGTCTCTGCTCTCCTTACAGCCAATCTCACTGTTTTATTTCCTGATTTAGTCAGATTTTTATTTTAGTTTTCTGAATAAATATATCTTTCACTAGATCCGTTACACACATTAGGTTTTTTTTTTTTTTTTTTAAATGGCATGTTCGTTTGGCAAGGCTCTTTTTAAAAATTGATCGGCACTTTTTCACAGAGAATTAAATATTTATAAGTAGATGATTCTACAACTGACAATTGACAGGGCATGAGATTATTTGTTTTTGTTTTATTTATTATGAGTGAGATCTGGATATTTTTTTTTATTTAGTTATATTTACAGTAAATGAAGAACTACTGAAATAATTCTCAGATTTCAATTCCATGGGGGAAAAGGAATTACTTCTTGGAATGATAACATCATGCATGGCTGCAAACAGCCACTTAGTGTGTTTACTGTGTAAAAGAAACATGAGGGATGCATTATGCACAGGTTCTATATGTTAGTATTTAGACCTAATAGATACATTGATCTACTACCATTCAAGAAACAATCCCCTAATGTTATCATGGTCACAACGTCTATAGCAAGCCATTATATTATGTACTAGTTTCACTGAATATTTACTCCTGATATCTGAAAAAGAAAAAAACATTTTTGTCTAAATGACCATTTCAAACAAAATGACATTCTTCACATCTAGAAGAAACATTCTGGATGTCTATAAATTAATTTCAGATCTCCATATTCCTAATATTATTGGTCAAGATTTGCATTTTTTTAAGTGTACAAAATATTTTTCAGATACCATAACTACATTTTGAGTCAAGCTGATATCAGAATGGACACTTAAAATGTGTAAGCATTTCTAGATATATAAAACTTTCTGAAATTCAATTTCTGTTACAAAAATGCAATTTAGAAAATATGTTACAGTTCAGTCTAGGATTGTGATTTTTATCAGGAAGAATCTTATTTATTTAGGTGATCTACAAATGGAACAACAGAGAGGAGAGGGCTTTTAATAAATGTAAAACCAGCCTGCCATAGCCCACTCCATAACTGATCATTTATAATTGATCTTTATTGATCTCACATAGGAGAAATTTACCTCTGCATATAACCCATATCCTTGGGGAGCAGCGAGTTTAAGGGTCTTGTTCAGAGACCAAGCATGGCAGTCTATGGCATCAACAATCGCCTTTATCAATAACTACCTGACAAACAGACCACGGTTTGTTAGACTGAGGGTTCAGCTGTCTAATCAAGTAGTCAGCAGCACAGGAGCACCACAGGGGACGGTTCTCTCTCCATTCCTTTTGACTCTGTACACATCTGACTTCCAGGACCAGACTGAATCCTTTAATCTACGGTTGTTGGATACACCAAAGATGGACAAGAAGCTGAGCACAGAAAGCCGGAGAACCTCTTTGTGAAATTGTGTGAAAACGATCATCAGATCCCGACAAAAAAAATAAAGGAGATGATTGTAGAGGACAGAAGTTAAACAATCTTCCGAAAAGGGTGCTCACTGTTGTCCTTAATGTGTTTCATTTTATAAGAATAATTCTTTGTAAAAAAAAAAACAAAAAACTCCAGAGTAGTTTCTATAAGCCAGCCTTCTTTATTAGGTTGTTGAGCTTTTTTAGATCATTAGCTCCAATACTGTTACCTCAGCAGAAGATGGAAGAAGAGATCAAACTCTCCCCAGCACATTTATAGAAGATATGTAGCATCTGGCTGCAAACACTGAAGAAATAAACATTAAGAAGTAAAGCCTTCTTCACTGTTGTGTCTGCAGTCAAATCTGTTGTCCAGGTGAGCACCCATGTGTACCCACATTTTAACACCACAGAAAAAAACTAGTCTGTGAGCCACCAGGCAAGTACAGACTACCAATGTGCACACATTTGTGAAAATATGTCTCTCCAACCAATCAAAAAGATTTTTGGTCTATCAATATGGGATGGGATCAGAGTTCTGCACTGGGAAAAAAAAAAAAATCAAGATTTAGATTAGTCATTTTTTCTTAAAATAAGTGCATTTGTTCTTGGATTAAGAGGGTAAAACAGACATTTTGCCAATGGAACAAGAACATTTACACTTGAAATAAAAAAAAACACAATTGCATCGTCTTATTTCAAGTGCATATTACCGGTATCTAAGTATCTTATTTTAGAGTAAAAATACTCATTCTATTGGCAAACTATCTCATTTACCTACTCAAATTAAGGGTAAATGCACTTAATTTAAGACATTTTTTACTTATTTCTAGATCGTTTTTTCATCTCAACACTTTGTAGCTGATTGTAAAAAAAAGTTCTTTGAATTTTTCATCAATTTGTTCTTATTAATCACTTTTAGTTGAATTTCAGTTGAAGGAGGAAAGACAGCGCTGATATTAATTAAATGCCTTGACGTTGCTGTAAAAAGCAGCTTAGTTGATGTCAATAACAGTCGTAACCTGTAATGTGAGTGTGCATCAGTATGTTTTAAGTTGATTCTCCACCATAAAGTAACTTTATGGCGGAGAATCCAAGCTTTAACATGTGAGAGCACACAGAACAAAAAACAAAACAAAAAATACATGTTTGCAAAGAAAAGCGATAGACACAGGAAGAGTGTAAAAAAAATATTTTATGATAAATTTCAATAGAAATGAGTAGGCCTACACAGTACTTATTGGTTTAAAGTAAATGAAAATCAGCTTTTTTTTCGTTATTGCAAGTGTACATTACAACAAAATGTATGCATTTAACCATCAGTTGGAGAGCAGCACCTAGGGAGCATCGTGGAGTAAACAAAAGGAACCAAGAGTCAGTTTCTGGTGGATCTTACATAATCTCCCGGACAGAAATCCACGCCTTTAAAACTATTTGGCCACCTCTTCTCCTCCTTGAACCTGTCTTTTAATCCGGACATTACCAGCTAACATGTATTCTGTTTCCATATATTTAGACCAATCATTTTTCTAAAGAACTAAGAAGATAAAAATATAACTAAAATCACACGATCGTAGACCATAGATGCAATGAGAAAATACAAATAGATGTAGGTATTATAGTGCCATTAAAATAAAGGTTTCTCCTTAGAGTTTTCTATGGGTTTTTTTCCTTCACTGGTAACACATAAATGTTTAAGAACAACAAACACTTTTAAGGCTTTTTATTTTCTCTTTTGTTTTTTAACCATTTATATTCTGGAGAAAAAATAGCTCAATGAAGAAAGAGAAACAGCAGAAAATCAACCTAATAACCTGTCAATTCAGGATTTTCTCATGTAGAGCAGAATTCACTCTTAACCGTGTGACCTCATCCATGCAGAGTATCCGAAAACCTCTTGATCAGACACGGCGTCCTGACCACGCCAAGTAGACATAATAGAAAACCTGCTACTAGAGTGAATACGTTTTTGTGATGCTCCTGTAGACGTCCAAAACTGTTTCAATGGTGAAAAAGGAGCAGCTTTATGCATGTCGGCCCACAGTTTCAGAAGTTTTCATATTTCATCTGGATTTTATATGAAATATTGCTCCTAAAGGGTGTCTGTGTCAAAGGCGCTGTCCGGCCCATTTCACTCGTTTCACTGCTCCATGTTTTCTCATTTTGTGGAGTGCAAAGTCCTGGAAATGCCCCTAAATCCCTTTGCAGACTCATATACTCGTCTTTCATCTGTTTTAAAGTTGCTTTGTGTCGCAGTTTGCTTTGTTTTCTTCTGATTTAGTGCTCTAAAACAGCACATGTGGTGTCAGGCCCTTTGCAACTTACAGGTTCGCTAATCATCAAGCCCAAAAAAGGTTAGTGAAATCTGTAAATCCAAAAAATGCATCTGCATTCAATAAATCACTTTTTTTTTTTTTACTGATTACTAAGTTATTAATGTGCTTTTTGTTCTGCAGTGGTCAGTTTTTTTCTCTGGTTAATTTTCTTGCATTGTTAAAAATGTAGTGCTACAATTTTAAGAGCATTAATAAAGATAACCTACACCACAGCGGCTTTGCATGGGTAGCACTGCATATTCTCTACTTAGGAACATACGCTCATGAAAACAAAACTAAAACACCCCAATGGATCGGTCTAAAGAACTGTGTCTAAAAAGACAATAACTCAACACATAAGTCAGACTTTTCTGTATTCATTCCTCCTTCATTGTGTACTTCATCTTCTTATTCCTCCAAGTACTTCTTCATCACTCCTAAAAGAAAGAAATAACACCAGTGACTAATTTAAACAGTACAAATGAAAATAAAGTCACTTATACATAAACTTTTTAACTGCCATGTCAACCTTCAACAGAGATGGCAAAAGTACTGACTTTCCGTACTTGAGTAAAGTACAGATACTTGTGTTAAAAAATACTCTGGTAAAAGTGGAAGTACTGATTAAACTTCTTTACTCAAGTAAAAGCAACAAAGGCTTGTAAATTTACTTAAGTATAAAAGTAAAAGTAGAAACCACTTTTTTCATGCCGTTGCCTACATTTTAAATGGATGTCTGCCAATAGGACTAGATCTCCGTTGTGTTCATTTTCAATCATCTCGTCGTCCATGCTACTATGCTAACGCCACCGCCACCAAGCTGCAAAGATTTGCAGCTAATGAATACCGCCGAATCTGTCGATTCATCTTGTAGTGGTGCGTCAAATGCAACGTAGATTCCCATCCAATTAGATTGAATTTGGTATTGATGACGTGAAAAATAATAACGGTAACTCCATTGAAATGATTCAAAACTAAAGTAACGAGCCAATTTTTTAAAATGTAAGGAGTAGAAAGTACAGATATTTGTGTAAAAATGTAAGGAGTAGAAGTAAAAAGTCGGCATAAAAATAAGTAGTAAAGTAAAATGATCAGAAATCTACTTGAGTACAGTAACAAAGTATTTGTACTTCGTTACTTCCCATCTCTGATCTTCAACCTCCATTTTGATCAACAAGTAATGCTCCATTTAATTCCATAATAGTTTATGTATTTTGATAATGTAATCAATGATCAAATGATTTATGTGTAAGTCATAAATTTTCGTTGGAGTTGATTCGGGGCTTTTAATTGTAATTTTTTTAATTTATTTCTTATTTTTTCCAAAATACCTTTATAATTAGAAAAACTAGCTATCGTTCGCTAGCTATTGTTAGAAAGCCAGCCAGATAGATTAATTTATTTTTTATTTTTGTTTGAGTTGAATTTGGCATTTAAATTTTTTTTTTCCCGAAACTATTAAACTAAAAAAAAAAAAAATAAAAAAAAAATAATAATATATATATATATATATATATATATTTATTTATTTATATTATTATTTTTTTCTTTCTTTTAGTTTAATTTTTTTTTTATATTTTAAGTTTTTAAGCTTAAAAGAAAAGATTTGAAACCAAACAATATTTAGTGAAAAAACTATCAATTGGAAAATTAAAACTAAATGTAAACCTAAAATAAAAAAGGTTTAAAACCAGAAAATATGTTTAAAACAACTTTTTTAGGTTCCACTGTGCTGTCAGAAAGGGTGGAGCACATCCCTCTCACCATTTTATGGATGCAATCAAATAAAGACTTACGATTAATTGCCAATCAGTGGTTTAGATTACATTTTTTTCATGCAGGTAATTGTTAACATCTGCTCAAAAGGATTTTCAGAGTTTCATTGTTACCAAACGTCCAGTAGAGGGCACCACTCCTCATTGTTAAGCGACACCTCAAAATAGAGAACTACATCACAATTAGCATCTTAATAATCTAATCGGAGGGTAAACAGTCTGACAGCATATCGGAGCGACATGCTCGGTCTTCTACTGGCATGTTTACATCTCTGTTCATTGGAAATTAGAAATGTTTCATATATTCTAGTCATCTTTAATATCATTTAGTAACCCAATAGGTCCCTATTTTGTTAAGTTTTATAAACAGGTCTAATAACATGTAAGAAAACAAGATTTTGTTTATTCAGTCAATATTTAATGCAACCGACGCTAGAAATTGAGTTAAAGGTTCTTGTCTGATAAGTTTACTAGTCTAAGGATTGTATTAGGGGTTTGTTTATTGCAATATATATTTGCTGTGTTACATGTTTCATTTGTTAAAAAGTAAACTTTTTAACGTTTAAACTATTTTTTTAATGACATGAAAATAACACATTACAGCAGTAATTCCAAATATCTTTCCTGTCTGCATCCATTAGTACCTATATGAACTCTTTGAAGAAACATAAGACTTAGAATATTTAATTTCCCTTTGTGATTAGCATTGGAAATTAAAATATTCAAACTGTAAAAGTGTGTCATTCATCCCTGAAGATCAAACAAATATATAGATTTACTTGTTCTTGATATGTATCCCACATGAAGGGAATTATTTTGGTAACACTTTCTTTTACGGTACATCTATATCCATGTAATAACATGGTAGCAACATAGCAAGTCACACTCTATTACTTGGTAACGAGAAAAACCTTATTTGGTAATAACATTTTGGTAATAAAATTAAGATGTATCATTTCAAAATAATTACCCGCATTTAATTATTACAGTAGTATGTTACACTGTAAATGGAAACTTTTGGTGGGTAATTACCATTAGGTTACCACATAACAGTTTCTATTATTTGCCGCCACCTATCGGGTAAATAAAGCATTTTAAAACTGAACTCAAGTTCCATATAAATAAAAGTTTATTTAAAAAGATTGGCATTGTTTTGTCATTGCCAAGTAATAAACTGCATTTTACTAGATAATAACACATTAATTTATTGCGGTCGGTGAAATGACGGAGTTACCTGGTAATAACGATTTAATAACTAAAAGGTTTGACTTTACCTTGTCCACCTAAAATCTGATGCAAAGCATCATTAAATTTTCCATTAAGTGTTTCTTGTTACCCATTAATAAAGTGTAATTTGCTATGCTGTTGCCATGGTTACTGATGTACTGTAAAAGAAGGCGTTACCAAAATAATTCCCTTCATGTCGGATACATATCAATATGTAATAAATCTATATATATGTTTGATCTTCAGGGATGAATGACACATTTTTTACAGTATTTACATTTTTCATAGATCCTTAAAATAGCTGACATGTAGTTTTAGGTAGCTTTTTTTTTCCAGCTGTAAGTCTTTTGGAAAAAAATGATTGTTGTTGTAAAATCTGCACATCCTTGTCATGATTATTCACATATTTCAAAACAGCTTTATGAACAAAAGCACCAAATCGACCAAAATGAGTAAACCTACATATAGGAGCAAAATGCAACCTGCAGTTTGGTAAAACACTTTACTAAGTTTATCATAGCAGAAAAAAATCTAATAATGACTAAAACTTTGTTTTTGTTGTCAGTCTTTAAGAAACAATGGGCCTTCCTTTTATTTGAGCAAATGTCCTGTAGAGGGACAACAGGGGGAAATGTTCTTAAGCAGCTGCTGGCCTTTATGTGATTTCAGAGTGTGCCTTCCCACTGCCCCCTGCCCTTTGCGGCGCCAGTCTCACTTCCTCTCTACTCCTAACATCTGCTCTGAGACTCTTTCTCCTACTTTATCTCCAATTTAAGACAGTTGGAAGATTTATTAAGGGATTCATTAATTAACGTTTACATTTTAAATCATAATTATTAACACGTCATAATTTTTTCTTATATGTATATACAGTTTTGTTATATTTTAATTTGTCTAGTTTTCTCTAAAACTTGTTAATTTGCTTCATTTAATGCAACTTTTTAATTCCTTATAGTGGTAATTCCTTTTGATGATTATCCATGCTTTTTTTTTTTTTTTTTTTTTTTAATGTGTCTCCTAAATCCAACCATTTTACAGAAGATGAAGATCTTATAACCACTTCTACGGCTCTGACTCATCTACAGCATCCTAACACATGTTACTGCATATAAGGGTATTTTTGTGGACTTCAGTTCAGCTTTTATGCCATCCCTTCCGACATGCTGGACCTGAGGCTCCTTCGCTTTTCAGTATCTGCATTTCATTCCTGGATTAGTGGCTAAAAAGTCTTAAGAAAGGTTGATAGGAAAATTCACATGCAAACTACTACTGTTTATACCAGGGATCATCTGCTCGCCCTTGCATGAATGGTCAGCTGTCCCCAGTGAAATAAGAAGGAGGGGAAGCAAACGGGCCTGGAGCAGTTTTTAAGGCGGGCATCGGGTAGATGATGAGTTCTGACCCACCTGGAGGGACCTCAGATCACTGTCAGGACTGAGTTCTTTGATTTTTTTCCTGTGCTTTCCCCACCATCCAACCACTACTTTAAAAGGAAAAGCTGGAGCAGTCAGGAGTGGACCCCCCACCTGTTACACTAGCTAGTGGAGTTCCTCAGTGGCCAACCGCAGTATGTGAGGACATGTTAGAGGACCCCACAAAGAACTCTACTGGCTCAAATTCTGTTCACCCTCTACACTTTTCCTAAAGTCTCCACTAACTAAATATATATATATTTTGGTTGGTTGTATACATGAATCAGAAGCAGTTTAATAAAATGTACTAAAGAACCAACATGTTGATATTTACAAACTAATGTTAAGTGTTCAATATAACATGTTTAATTCAGGGCTTTAATATTCAATATTGGCAGATTTTTATTGACGTTTGTCAGGAACGTTAAGGAAGATAACGACTAAGTTTTCTCGTATCATTCCTTTATTTGCGTTATAAACACGCAAACAAAATAATTGTTTATTATTAATCATATGCAAAATATATGATCAGAGTTTTTAAAATGTATTGTTTGACAGCTCTTATATATATTTCGATTTCATATTGGTTTTCCTCACCTTCCTTTTTTTGCTCCGCCCCTCAGCCTGTAGGGTCCTGGTACACTGCTCCACACACTGAGAGAAGCTCACGCTGCTGTGATCTGAGCTGTAGTCCAGCTCAGCCAAGTGAGCCAAAGACAGAATGTAGTTGCAGGCAATGCGTAATATAGCCAGTTTGGAAAGTTTCTGTCCATAGGAGTAACATGGCACCTAAAAGAGAAAATAAGAGACTCAAATTTTTAGCCTCCTTTTTTAGGCTCCTTAAAGCTGTAATAAAAAAATAAAAAGAACAAATATACATAAACACCATAAAACATTCAACAGAACAAATAGATTTTTGTTCAAAAATAAAACTATCTTGGTGATACAGGTCAGGAAAAAAAAAATAAAACCACAGAGAAACTGAAATGAAAAGCAACTGTATGAACTGAAAAATAGGTAGAAATATTATCCTGGCTAAATCTACATCGCTTTTGATTCAAATGTAGCTCAATAACTTTTTTTTTCTGCAAAGTATAGATTTTTGGTGAATTTTATCAGCTGATGGAACTAGTTTTAGGGCCTATATCATGGAGAATCCTCGTTTAAAAAATAAAAGTTTTAATCTGTTTCACTGCTATTAATCAAATTCATACACCCAGTGGCATTTCGCTTGATTTATGCATCTCTGAGTTCTGCTGTCTGAGCAGCAGCCCGTCCTTGACCTGCGTAGCTGCATGATCAGCCGGGTCCAGATGTACAGCTGCAGCCCTCAGTCTCCACGTCTCCCTCTTCCAGTGGTGTCAAAAGTACACACATTTGATACTTAAGTAGAAGTATAGATACTACAGTTTAAAAACACTCTGGGAAAAGTTGAAGTATCAACTTGACCTCTTTACTCAAGTAAAAGTGGAAAAAGTATGTGCTCCAAAAACTACTTAAATTATAAAAGTAACCTTAAAAAAAAAACAGCCAGATAACACTATATGAATAGAAAGCTCAATTTTTCTTTGAGATAGGGCCAAGGATGAGGGAGGTCTTGTTGGTCTCCATCTCCTGATACGCTCTTGCCTGTGTCCGACCTCATTGCCAAAAATTGCATCCCGCGCTATCTCAGAGGAGTTGACACTTGTATGACTGTTTTCCTGTATATCCATCAGTAGTTAAAGGACAAGGGTCAGCAAATGCAGACTCTGTCCTTTAAAACAATGACAGCACAATCGTCACTGTCTGATCTGAAGCCTCATTTGGAGCTTTAAACAGGCTTTTAAAAAACTTTGATATTGGCTGCTGTAATATTATAGATTTTTAGAATAAAAAGCTAGCAGATGTGCATAATCAAAAAAAAAAAAACAGAAATATAATTATAGAGCATTCAGTATTGTAAGAAAGCCCACACTGTTTCTGAATAAATACATTATTGTATGAGTTAAGTTCTATTCCATTTATGTCTATTTCCTTGTAAGTATGAAATGTCCAATGCTCCTGAATGCACCATAGCTATCTGACGCTCCTGAATGTATCTCTGGTCTGTGAACGCTGTGCTGTGTAGATGCAGGTTTTATTTTCCGCTTAAGACAAATCTTTGTTGTCGGCTATCACTGCTTATTGTTGTGTGTGAATAACAAGAGACTACAACAAATAAATCAGCCGTAACTCGGACAAAATCTTTGGATTTAATGTTGTTCATAACGCTCGTAATTTTGCAAATGAATCTGCCCAATAACCACAATTTTTTTCCCCACGAGATGTATATTTTAACGTTTTTATATCATTAATATAACAAGTAGCTCCATTGGTCATATTTTAATCCGTTTTCCTCGTTGATATGCAGAGCGAGGCGCGCTCCCACCCGCCACTGGGGATGCTAATCTCAGCAGGGATGCACTTTTTGGTATAACACCGGACCGCGGTCCGCTAATCCGTGACCTCTGTATTAAACCGAACCAAGAGTAACGAGTAACGGTTGTTTTAAAAATGTAAGGAATAGAAAGTACAGATACTTTTGAGAAAATGTAATGAGTAGAAGTCATAAGTAGGAATAAAAATAAGTAATGGAGCAAAGTATAGATACCTTAAAAAGTGTACTTTAGTACACTTTTTCAAGTAACGAAGTACAAATACTTCGTTACTTGACACCTCATCCCTCTTCCATACCACCCCCACCATTATGGAAGGAATCATTTAGACACTGACTTAGTTAAACATCTGCCTTCATCTTCCAAAAAATCCAGCGTTTCTGCTTTAGCACAGAGCCGACTATGTCGCTGTTTAAGCAAAGACGACTCTTAGTTTTTTACCTAAATCAACATGATCCTAATTGAGAACAGCCTCACCATTTTCCACCTCATTAGAAAGCTGCTGTGGTGTTTAAAATGTTATGTTTGTTGTGTTACTCTAGTTTAACGTTCTCCATTGCCTTAGGAAAGAGCAGGATCTAACTGCTCTATATGCGTAAAAACAAACAACCTCTAACAGGCTTTTTTTGGTTTTAAAAATCCGGTTTCTTTTATAACTTAAGCTTTGCTAATTATTTAACATTTATTCTTACTTAAAGAAAAAACAGTAAATTCTCCATCGTAGCAGAATGAGGAATATATAAACCGCCTTTTTTATGAGAAATAAATGAGAATGTAAAATTCTGAGCCATCAATATTTGATGTAAATAAACACTGAGCTTTGAGATATTAATATAAAATAACATTTATTTTATGCATATTATTAGGGATGCATGATATAATCGTCCCCCTATCGGTATCGGCCTGTATCAGCCTTAAAACTGAATATCGGATATCGGCCACCCCACCGATATTTAACCCGATATTTGATCAGCTTCTGAGTTTCTAAAGTCTAAAAAAATAAAAATAAAAAATACTACTTCTTCTTCTTCCTCAAAAACTTCTTTTTTACAGACTTAAAAACTTCTAAAGACGAGGGAAAAAATATTGATACATTAAAAAAAGACAATATCTTCATATGCTGATATATTGCCATTTAAAAACACCATATCAATCTCTTTTACTAATGAAATATTGCTATATGTCATCGTTATACTACGAAATCCCCCGAAAATTCACGAAATTTTGCCATATTTTTATATGTTGATATATTGACGCGGTATCGATCTATTTTACTAACAAAATCTCACAAGAATTTGCAAAATATCACGAGAGTTTGTAACAGAACGATGAAATTTCACGAGATTTTGAAAGTAAAATAGATCGATACCGTGTTTTTAAAAATCTATTTGATATCAGCATATGAAAATATATTTGAGTATATTATTTTTCAAAGTGTCAGAAATGGATAACAAAACTGCTATTTTCAATGACTACTTATTTTTGTCCAGCTTTAATATCAGTATCGATATCGGTTATCGGCTACATGAGTTTTAAAATATTGACATATCGGATATCGGCCAAAATCCCAATATCGTGCAACCCTACATATTACTCTAACAAATCTAATGCTAAGTTCAGACCGAACACGAATTAAGCAGTAGAAGCAGCTGCTTTATATGCAGTCTATGGTTGAGGTGCATCAAAAGGTCCTGCAGCACGTCTAGAGCAGCAGGAGAAGCGCATCTTGATGGATCTGAGCAGCTGAAGCAGCACCTCATGAGCAGCAGCTGCTGGAGTTGGAAAAAGTGAACTTTTGCAACTCGACGCGCCACATCAACCAATCAGAGAAGCTGATCCATGAGCTGGCAGGGAGACGGACACAGCACTGCTGATGCATTTCCGCTATGATCACTGCAATGAAACAGTTCATTAACGCCTAAATTAACTCAAAGTGTCGAAACCTGCTAAGTTAGCTTTTATTATTCCTGTGTGTGCAGTTTGGATTACGTATAAGAAAACAGCTAACATCACCTTTCAGCCACCAACAGTAGTGGATTTGAAGGCAGGATCATAATCTTGATGAACTGACTGCACAAATGATGTTTTGAAAAGGACTTTCTTACTTAAAAACATATTAAAACCACTTTTTTCCACTTAAAACAGCAAATATAGCAAAGCTGCTCTCTGCCATTGAACACAGCAGAAGCATTATCATTTTCTGGATGCGCTTCAGTAGCATCAAAGATGCTCTTGAGGCACGTCTGACCTTAATGTGGACAAGCATCAAAAATGAAGCAGGAGGAGCTTCTTTGCTTCTCAAATCACATTAGGTGTAAATGTAGCATCAGTATAAATGGTTCAGGGCAATGTTCAAAAATGAATACAAGAGATGACTAATAGATACATTTATGCACACTTTCTTTGAAAAGAGTGTTTTAATATAGCATTATTGACTTATATTTCTACTTATCTATGATTGCCAGTTTAAATTCAAGGCAAAGACAACCTTGTCTTAAAGACTTAATGACACATTTGTAGCATACAAGTTCCATAACAGTTTTATTGTTTTTTTCTGCAAATAGACTGTATGCAAAAAAGGGAAAAAACAATAAAACAAGCGGAAATATGTCTAAAATCAAACTTATAACAGTTTGCATTTAATGCATTTAATGAAAGCTCCATATCTTATCACTCTTTTAGTCCTGCAGGAAAATGTGGATGTAATCTGTGCAGCTATTAAGCCAGAATGTGAAATAAAAAGATTCTTACCTGCTTCCTTAGAGCCTCAAACGCAGCACTGATGGTATGGACGCGAGTCCTCTCCCTGGCATTGGCAAGCAGCCTTCGTGTTTGTTGGATAGCTTTGACCTCTGGAAGACGTCCTCGTGAATCAGAATCCACTCCAGGCCGCTTCCTTGCAGACTCCTGAGGGCAGAAAATTAAACCGAGGCGGATCATTTCAAATCAAATCAAAAGTTGCTTTTTCTAACAAAGATCACAATTATTTTTTTCTTTTAGAGTTGCTAAATTAATTATTAAACCTCTATTTAGGATGTAAACACAATGCAAACACAAGAAACAAAACAAAAATACGAAAAGAAATGTAGTAAATACATGGCCTTACAACATTCCCTTGAAGTAAAGTCATGAGATAAAACCTTTAATATACTTTGTGATTTAATTCAGAATACCAGCACAAAATTGCACCTAACTGTGAACTAAAGGAAAGCTTTCAAACCTCTGATGCCTTCACCAAAACAGTTGGACTAAATCACACACCAGTTCCTGCTTATTCCTAACAGGTAAAGCAACGGGAGGCACTCAGGTATCCCGGCAAAAGGGCTGAAAACAAAACTGCGCCACATAAAAATATTAGAAAAACCAAGCTTGTTCTTTCAGCTCTATAACAGTATTTTGCGTTGGCCAATCACATAAAATCCTCCACAAGAAAATCTGTAACAGGTCAAGAGGTATTACTACTCGTTATGCACTGTACAATATTACATTTTTTTATTTACAAATATTACAACAAAATGTTCGGCTAAATCTGTAATAATCTACAATATCTAAAGTTTTTATATAGTCTGTCTGACCTGGCTTGTAATGATTCAATTCAGTTTAGTTTATTTATAAAGTGTTAATTCCCGATACACATTCTCATATCAGGGGACTTTACAGAGACATAAAGCTATCCAATCTAAGGAAACCAAGCGAATTGATTTGTTCCTCCTGCATGGGCATGGAGGGACAATTGGCTTTCATTATGTCATTGACTCTGCAGCAATCCGTCACACCAAGCATGCATGCAGCAAAAGTGGAGAGAAAAAACATCCTTTTAACAGAAAGAAAACCTCCAGGAGGACCAAAGGAGGCAGAAGCAGACATAGAAAAGGTACACAGAAGCACTGATCCTTAAATATCTCCTGTGTTAAAAAAGTTAACGGTCTGTATCAGCATTCAAGATATTGTATTTAGTGGTATAATATAATGTATGCTACATTTCAATCAAGAAATGGTACAAAGTATGTACTGCTTTACGGTCCGGGTATATTTACCTTCTGTTCAGAGACTTGACTTTTCCCATGGTCCAGGCATTGGGAGGTCCTGGGTACGGATACAGCTGCAGACTGGCAAGGCAGGGATGACTCCCAACAGAGCGACTGATGGGCGGGGGAGGTAGGGCCGCCCGTTGGTTCTGGCAGAGGTAAAGTGGAAGGTAGCCCCACTTTGAGTCTGTTGGTCAAGGGCTGAGAGATGGAAATTGGCCAGTGGGAGATTTCATGATATGATAGAGGAGAGGCAGGTGACTGGGACACTTTTGGAGATACTGATGGCATGTTAATGCCAACCCTCATATCGATGGCACCGCTCTGACCTGGTGCCGAACTGTCTTCTTGTCTGGTTGACAAAATGCCCCTGCTGTTGGACATAACATCATGTGACATCATCAGCTGTCTCTGTAGAGCCAACTTGCTGAAGTTAGCCATTTGGCCATCATCTACACAGTCCATCTCTGACATGTCCACTGGGAATCTGTCCATGCTTTCAGTTTCTAGACTAGGAAATAGTCTTTTAGGCTCACGGGACTTTCTCTTGAACTTCTTGTTCGTACCTGGGACAGAAATCACCATCGACTCCTTGTTGTTCTTGCTGTTCAGATAATTATCCAGCGAAATAGTTTTTTTCATTTTGAAGAAGTTAAAGCAAAGTTCATTCATTCAAGTTTCATTCAGAGGAGAAAACCGCACAACACATGTATATTCTATGCAAATAAAATATTTACAACCTTAGGAAAGACAATTGTTACAGAGCAAACTACAAGCAGAAAACCCAAATGCTGTTTCACATTCTGCAAAGCTGCATAACAGGATGTGCTCAGTCATGGCTGTTACCAGGAGGTTTTATGTGGCTCCACTCTGTCTGCATAACAGCATCCTGAAAAATCAACACTAGAGCTCCAAGCTGTGTAACATCTGCTATTCCACACAAGCTGGACTGGAGAGGCTTTCTTCTGCTCCAAGGGTTTCTTTCAGTGTGAACAGGCCGGGCATTGCCTCAGAGTGAGGTTACAGTAAAGCTGTCTGAGAGTGGCTCCAGTCTGTCTGCATAGCAACACTCTGAATAACACACACACACACACACACACACACACACACACACACACACACACACACACACACTAAATGAACATATGCAACAGCTGAAACAGCTTCTACAATGGATTTTTCTACACAATCAATTAGAAAAAAATGAAGTCCAGAGATAAAAAGTTTTAAAGAAACAGTGTAGCTGAATTCTAACTAACTTCTGTATATATATATATATATATATATATATATATATATATATATATATATATATATATATATATATATATTACAAAAAAAAAAAAAGAAAAGAAAAAGTTTGCAAAAAGAAAATATTGTCTCCAATGTGTCAGGAAAAGCGTCTGAATCTCTCTGCAGACTTCATGAGCAGTTCTTACTGGAGCTATGGGTCCTTTTTTGCAGCCGTACGCGCTGATGCGAAGATCGGAGCAACCTTCCTGTGTTTTTTTGTTTTTTCCTCCCACACTGATTTAATTAAGACGCTTCTTCACCGGGCAGCGATCCGCATCAGTTTGAGCCGCTTTGAGGTTTTTATATCAAGGAATCCAAGGCGCTGAGCGTCCACCAAAGAGGAGAACTCCCACCGCTAATGTTGGAAAGACTACCTAGTGTCTCACTCCTCCCAGTCCAGCTCCACTGGCGTCTGTCTGACTGGCTGCACGCGCTCTCCCTCTCTTTCACACGCGGAGAGAGAAAGCGACCCTAGTCTAATTAATGAGGACCAGCCACAGGCTCTGGATACCCTGATGAGATTTACCACAGAATAAATCACACTGGGTCAAAATGATTTTAAAGCTTGTGTTTATTTCCAGTTCACATCATAATCTGCATGTGCTTTGTAACTGTTTCTGGAAAAAAAAGAAAAGAACAAACACATACTAAGCAGAAATGATGAGGTGCATATTAAGTTGTTTTGCACAAATGCCAATTTTTGGCCCCGATACCCGATACCTGGCTGTGCAGTATACTGATACCATCTGTTAGAAATTGATATGTGTGTCAGTGTTACTTAAGTAGATGTATAGAAACTGCAGTTTAAAAAGCACTCTGGTAAAAGTTGAAGTAATAATTTTACCTCTTTAATCAAGTAAAAGTGAAAAAATATTTGCTCCAAAATGTCACGGGGTCGGGTTCGAAGTTCCTGGATCTGACAGCTCGGTCTCTCCCCCCCCACCCGACAATATTTTTTTTTTTTGGTGTGGAAAGTAGGACATGTCCGTGACAAGGAAGATGTCTGGTCGGTCTAGTATATATGAAGAACTGCATACTACTTGGATGTAAAATAATTGCCATCATGGCTTTGTCAAGCTGCTGCCTACCTTTGTAAAGCAGGAAAAAGACTAATACAAAGTGAATCCAGTAGAACTTTTTATTGCTTACCTGGAATGGGTGACAATAGTTGAATAAACTTTTGGCTCTCAAAATGGTATCGGTTCACTATTTGTTGATACTGGCTGATACCACCATTTTACTGCTGGATCGGCGCCCCACATGATACTGGTATCGGTGCAACACTAATATTAACAACAGGCCAATGTATTATTTTTTTAAGCACAAGAAGTGGGTGGCAACTAGTTACTTGATGGACTTTTTTGAGAAGAAAAAAAAGTTTTTATATGGGTATTCCAAAAAGGTTTTTTTAAAAAAACAATCCACTGGACTATGTCTCCAAGTTTGAAGACATTATGCCTCTCATCTAGGAAGCTTTTTCCAGTTCAAAATGTCAGAAATACTGTTGAGTTTGAGGCTTTAGAGTGGACCAAAAACAGTGCCTTGTTCTGGCTTAGAAAACATGTAAATTGAGCCGGTCGAACGGGTCCACCCCTTTATGAATCAGCAGTTGTGTGGGATCTTTGTTGGCCTGCAATACCTGATACCTGGATCTGTTCAAGTTTTATCTCAGTTTTCATTGGTCTTTTTTCCATTTTTGTGTTCTAGTTATTTTTTATTGTATTTGAGTTCTTAGATATTTCTTGTTTGGCCTCTTGTGTCAGTCTCCTTTTCCCTAGCTCCCTTCTTGCCTCCTCTGTTCACACCTGCTCCCAATCTGCTAATTACCTGGTCATTGTTTCTCTCTCCCATTTCTCTCCTGTTCATTCACTCTTTTCTGGTTTGTTGTCACATCTTTGCCCCCTTGTTGTGAGTATTCCTGTTTTTTCGGTTGTTTTGGATTGTGTGGATTCATGTTTTTTTTATTTTTTGCTTCTGTTACCCTTTTGCTATTAAAATCTGCAAGTTACCACCTTCAGCATTTGTGTCTACATTTTTGGTCCTCCTTCAAAACTCCACCTCCACTTGATAGTACAAACCAGCCAGAAATGGAAAGACCAATGAAAACTCAGAGATAAAATTTGAACAGAACCAAAACCATGACACTGTCTATGGGCGTTTCTCAATTCACGAGAACGCGAGTAGGTACTCGCGTTCTCGTCGTGAAGTCCGTTGTTGGCGAGAACGCAGGAAGATCGGACTTGACGAGAACACGAGCACGTATGTGTATTGGAGCAGAAGTGTACTCGTGACGTCATCCCATGCAACGTTGTTTAGCATTTCTTTAACAGTCAAAACTATTTATTCCCTACACAAAACAATATTTTTTATTTCTAAAGCTTAAAAAACATAAAAAAAAATTACCGAACCGCAAAAAAACGCCATCAGAACGAGCGGTAGTTCACACATAACTAGACCGAGAGAAGTGCACTACAGACGGGGTAAATTTAGCCCTGGCTGCGGTTACCCTCAGAGGTCTGCTGGTCACTCTGGTCCGCTCAACGTCGGACTTTTTTTTTTTATTTCGCACTAACTCTGTAAACAGGCCACACAGGGAGGCTTAAATGTATAATGTTATCGCCTCAAACGATTTCAAAACGTACTTTTGAAGAACAACAGCAGCAGAAAAGGGAATGTTTAACTTAACACTGTGAGCGCTGTCTCGAATCAAGCTGCGGCCGCAGGGCATTCTGGGGAAGCGGTTAGTCTGAAGAACGCACAAGTCTGCTCTGATACATGCTTGATAAAGAGGGCGGGGCGAGAACAACATCCGGGGATTTGGTGCGTTCTCGATCTGGCGTTCTCGAGAATTGGAACGGTACTCGGGCTGAGGCTGATGACTTGTCACGAGTACACGAGCACACGAGAACGCTCAAGAACGCATATTGAGAAACGCCCTTCGTCTCTTAAAGGGGAGTCGTTACAGGGAATTGTTGCCCTTGCTGAACAAGCGAGGTTCCTGTATGGGAACTGTTCTGTTCCCCTGTATGGGGGCCATGATAGCAGGAAGGAATCAGCTCTATCGCTGCGTTGTAGGTTTTTGATAGCTGAAATTTTGAGTCCGGTCCAAGTCTTGTCCGGAGGAGGTCACTGTTGGGCCATGCGTCTGTGTTTGGTTTGTCCAATATAAAGATCAGAGCATTCCTCACTGCAATGATACATCACTCTGCTCATATTTGGTCTGGGTGTTTTGTCTCCAGAATCTTCACCAGCATTATATGGGTAGTTTCACTGCATTGTAATATCCAGAGGCAGATCTGGTGAGGCAGTGGTGGTTCTAGGACTAATTTGCCAGAGAGGCCAGCTAATAATCTGCATTTGGCTTGTTAGCTTGTTGTTGTAAGCTTGTTAGATTATTATTTGCAATTGGCATCAATGCTGGGTATATGTTAGACCATGGTGTGTTAGTGGTAATGATGTCACCAGTGTGACAGAAATCAGGATAGTAAATAATGCAGTGCAACATGGAAGGAAGCCAGGGGAACCATTATCAGTGTGCTTTGTTGTTTGGTTCTACATTTCTTGTACCACCTGAGTTATTGTTTCCATTTGTGCTGCTATAGGCTTACTGTAGGCTGCTGGAGGACCCTTTTAATCATAATGCTTGATTCTATCTCTTTTTTCCCCTTCTTCAGTATTTGTTAATTCAATCTATAACGACGGGGCCGTCTCTGGAGCTTATTTAAAGTTGCCTTTTGTATCTCTGCTCCTTTTCAATGTCTGCTTCAGTCTCCTTGAATCTCAGTCGGCCTCAGCAGATGGCCGCTTACACTTAGGCTGGTTCTGCTGGAGGTTTCTTCCTGTTAAAAGGGAATTTTCCTCTTCACTGTCAGTACATGCATGCTTGATGTGAGGGATTGCTGAAAAGTCAATGAGTCGATGCAATCAGCTGTTTTTCCCCCAAATAGGGCGAAAGTCGCGGAGAGAATGACAATTCTGTCATGTTCTGAGGGAGTCTGTATCACTTTCGCTGACACTAAGCAACTTTGACTAGGGTTGCAGGAACCTTCCCACACAAAATAATTACAAATGTGGAGATTGCTTTATCGCAGATATATCCCTTCCCCCATTCCCAATTTCGATATAAAGACGAAAGTTGATGCGTCTAGGTTTCCGTCCGCCTAAAGCTTAGTTTATGCTTGATGTTTCGTGAGGTCCAAACAGCCAAATTACTTTCATTTTTGGCTTCCACACCTCTCCATGCAATTGAATTGTCTACAAGAGGCACCTCGGAAAATTTGTAATTATGCAGACGGATTCCCCTGGAAAATATGCTGAGCAGGCATCTTGGGATGCAGTCAGATTGGTTAAATATTTCTATCAAATGAAACCCAGCTGGTTTCATCCAGTCTTTTGACTTTGCAGGATTTGTTCCATCTACATGAGCATATGGTGACAGTAGACATTTGTTTGCATTGTGTTGTTGAATCTACATCTATTCCTCACATGCATGCACAGCAGTGGAGAGGAAAAACTCACTTTTAACAGGAAGAAACCAAGGCTGACTGGGGTTCAAGGGGACAGAAGTAGACATATGAGAGAAAAATGGAGGCACTGATCTATAAATACTGTTTATTTTTGAAAGGTAACAGTAAATTAGCTCCATAGGTGGCTCTATATAGGAAAGAAACAGCTAATAAGATGAACTATGAGCTGGTTATCATGTCAAAGGGGATGAAAGAGAAAATATAAAGTTAATCAAATTAAAAACTCAGCCTTTAGCGTTGTCTATAGGAGAGAACATTATTACTTCCAAACCATGAGAAACCCACAATTCTTTGCAGAGACCACCACAAGGAAATGCACATTCAAATGTAATCAATTTCGTAGGTTTTGGTTTGTGTGATGAAGAGCTGCTCACTACATTTGTGTTACTTTGTTTTTTGGAAGGCTGTAGTCCTGGATTTCGCTAACATCGTCCATGTGCCTTTCTGTAACGTACAGTAATGACATAATTTAAAGGCTCTCCGAAATGAGCACAGCACATCAGAGGCCCCCTTTCTACCCAACACAAACAAAACATGTTACCAGTGTTTTTATTTTCTTGGGATTCAGATAAAAATGTTTGTCTTGGATCCAAGATCAGTTACAATCTACAGCAATGGAAAGAGGCATTTCAAATCTGTTAGCAGGAAGTGGTTTACCTTAAAATCACTTGGCTGGACCAATCAGTTTCTTTTACTGAACTTAAAGATTCCTATTGGAATCAGGAGAGAAATAAAAAAAAAAAAAAAAAAAAAACATTCACCATTCTCTTATGTCTGCGCCCTAGTTTTTTTTTCCATTTTAAGTTGATGCAGCTAATAAAGTAATCAGAATCTTTTAAGATGGTGCCAATAAGGCACAGTCTCTTTTTGCCTCCTGAGAAAATGTCCTTTTCAATTTATGTTATAATATCCTTGTTTGCCTTTGTTTTTACCTTTAGATATTTGAATACCCTACAGTATATCGATCACATGAAGATAGAAAACCTGCATATCATGTGCTCTCCTTCAGATCCACTATTAGGCACAAGATGGCGCCAGCCGTATTCAATTAAAATTATTTCTAAAATATTTTATTGATCCTAAAGGGAAATAAAATGTTCTCTGGTTTCTATTTAGCTCCATTATTATTTCTGAACTCTAATCAGCTGGTATTTTGTGTCTGCTCTCCTGGATAATAACTACCAGGCAAATGAGATGAATAAGGTCTTAACAGAAACAGGGGAAGTTACCGTCATGGGCGTAGGTTTGCATAGGGACCATAGGGACATGTCCCTACCAAAATTTTGAACCGACCTAATTGTCCCGACCAATAATTGGATGTGAGCAACATGTTTATAATTTACAGCAGTAGTTGTTGCAGCAGTGGCTTCTTTTCCTCTCGCAGCTCCTCTGCCTGGTCTCTCCTGTCCCTTTCATGTAGCAGCGCATGGAACTGTGCTGCGCTGTTTAACTCCACTCTCATTGGTTGTTCTGCCTTAAGTTCCGCCTTCTCTCTCTCTGATTGGCTGTTTTCTAGTCCTGGCGTGCTTGGAGCACAAAATTGAAAATTTATTCACACTAGAATGCTGCGGTTACTACAATAAATATTAGGCTACAAAACTAGTCCCAATTAAAAAAAAATGAATATCATGTACACTAAAAAACAAAAACCTTTTTTTTTCTTTTATAAAGCGAAATATTCTGAGTCAGCCAGGAGTTCTGAAGACAGAAAATGGGCAAATAAAGGCTGTAAGCCATCAACATTTCTGATTCTTATCCACAGCCAACTAAAAAAGAAAATGTGAGGGTTTCCTTTTTACCAATATTTAGTTGCTATTACTGTTTTCATTTTTTTTATGACTCTTTGAGAAAGTTATAAGGTATAATTATTAGCAGGTGTTATTTCTCTTATAGAGTACAACAACAAGAAATGGGGCCTAAACATCTGCTGTTTTTCATTTAAAAAGCATAATTAGGGTTCCACATAATAATAGTTCTATTTTATTGACTATTTATACTTCTAGAAATAGGATAAAGACAATAACAAACAAAGGAAGAATATAAACATTGATTTTATCTTACATAGATTTCCACACAGTCTATAAGTAAATTAGTACAAACATTAATGTCTGGTAAAAATGCTTGAATTTGGCTGTTTATTTTGGATAATGTTAAATTACAGATAAGATAGTGTTATATTGTCTTTTATAATTGTTAAAAATTATTTTATAGTTGAATACGGTACAATTAGGCTCATTCTTAGTGTTGTGTTTGTAGATGATTCCACTAAAAAAGAAAATAGACATACAGTAAGAAGCTATTTAAACAGTCAGACAGTAAGCAATATAGGACAATGATAAAAGGTTGTGTTACATTTAATCCTTTACTATTAAAATTGCACTTATACATTAAATGATTGTAGGAAACACAGATATCCAGTAATAATGATGCAGGGCAGCTTGTAGGTGAAGCAGCTGCCCTTCAGTGCTTCAGGTGATGTCTAAATAAACTGAAATTAAAGTATTTCCACATGAGGAGTTCTGGATGGAGAATATTGACAGACAAATTTTTTTTTTTAATCTTATATATTATATATATATATATATATATATATATATATATATATATATATATATATATATATATATATATATATATATATATATATATATATATATATATATATATATATATATATATATATATATATAGTATTTTTACAATTTTGGTATAATTACTGATCTAAGTTGATTGCTCTATAGGGGAAAGGGACATTTATTTTACATTTATATTATGTTTTATAGTCTCCATTCACCAGTTAATGATTAATCACATACTAAATTAGTTGACGATTATTGAAATAATCAATTAATACGATTCATTTTTTCAGCCCTAGATAAAATACATGAAATGGGCTATACAGAGTAACTACAGCCCAGATGTTCAACTTTTATAGTGAAGTTAATATTTTAATGAATGTATTATTTTGCTGGATACAGAGAGAGCATAGTAGGTAAAATATAAGAGTGGGGTTTAACTCTGCACAATTGTATATCTTCAAAAGAAAATATTGTATTTACCTTCTCTATTAGTCATGCAAATGAAACCATTTACAAAGTGGAAAACAGTCCTAATTCCACATTCATCAGAGCCAGTGATACTTCAAACATTGATAAACAGCATCTAATGAGTGTAGTGCTTATAAAATTTTTATTAATGTAGCAAAATTATACTTTTCTCTTTTAACAATGAATTCGTCTTATCAGTACGGATGCCCACATCGAGCATAAAAAAGGGCACGCATATTGCAGCACCAATGACACCCAACCAATAGTGTCCCCACCAAAGTTCAAATCAAACCTACGCCCTTGGTTACCGTAGTCTAGTTTTTGTTCTTGTAATAGCTGACATGCTAATTTCTAATACTTCAGATATTTTTCTATTCAGAAGGTAATAAAAGAGCAAACATGTAATCAGTAAAAGGACACTGATTACATGTTTTCAGATGAACAGGCCTGCCCCGACTAAAACCACTGCTTTCTACCTGTTTTAGATCTGTAGAAAAAAAATTTAATCTGGGTGCCTTTAATTAGAAACAAAACAGTAATAAAAAGCAGGGGTTTGCAAACATTTCAGCCTTGACCCTAGGGCTGCAACTAATGATTATTTTGCAAATCGATTATTCAGTCAATTATTTTTCAGATTAATCTATTAATAATCGAAAAGCCAAATGTTCCTTAAAGATTTCTTTTATGAATTTAAACCAGGTGAAACTCAAACTTTTCCACTTGAGGAGTTCTGGAAAGAGCATATTTACATCTTAAATGCAAAATGTTTATAGAATTTTTGACAATCTTGCCATAATTCCTGCTCTAAGTGGGTGGCTCTGACAGCTAAAGACATATTTAAAAGTCTATAAACTCCAGTTAACGATTAACTACTAGATTAGTTGAAGATTATTGAAATAACTGATTAATCCAATTAATTATTTCAGCCCTACTTGACCCACAAAAAAAAAAAAAAAGGCAGGCGAACCCCCCAAAATGCTTATCATTTCACTCTATACTTACTTATACATATACATTTAAATAATTCATTTAAATAAATATATTTTCTAAAAGACTTTTACTTAAAAGTACAGAGGAGGATTTTGGTGAATTCATGAAAAGACTCGCCCTCTCCACTTTTAAACAAATTATGCACAAATCTGTACCTGTTCCCTAAAGGGAAGGCCTATTAAACGTGTGTGAGAGCGTGCACAAACCCCTTTCTCCTCATGAATGCTCTATTTAAAAGTTGCTGTTTGCATCGCTGCTACAAGTTTACTTTCCAAAAGATGATTTGCAATTTTGGGGACGAGCACATAAGATGGTCTTATGTAAACATATCACCAGCATGACTGACAATTAGCAGGACCACTTATTTTGATGATCCACCCGGGAAAAATAAAATCCTTTACTATGCCTTTAATTAACTGATCATTTTTAATTTACTTTTATTATATACTGGGAGAATTCATTGTGCATTTGACAGTTTATTGATATATTTAATTTTTGTATCAGGTAGATAAATGAAGCTTAAGCGAAAATTTAAGACTCTTATCAGATTATCTGAACCACCTGCAATGTACCTTATCCAGTTTCAACCAATCATCTCTGGCCACACCTTATCCAAAGTCAATAATTTCTCAAGATCCCATTCATTAGGCTCCTGGGCTAGCTTCTCTCTCCTGCATGCAAGCAAACTTTCACCCACCCCACCACCCCATCTCCTCCCTAATTTTCAGTCTATTCTCAGTCCAACTCACCTTCTGGTTTATTCCATCACCAGTGTCCAAGCCCCGCTGCAAGATTACTCTAATTCTTTTTCTGTTTCTTCCTTCAGGCAAATGCTGATTCACTGTATAGAAGTCTTCTGCCGAGGCCTGAGCGCCAAAGTACTTAGTTCCATAATGTCACTATCTGTATGTCTGCTTGGGTCTCTTTGAATCTCAGAGGCCGCTCACACTGAGCCTGCTTGAGGTTTCTTTCTGTTAAAAGGGAGTTTTCCTCTCCACTGTTGCTACATGCATGCTCAGTGCAAGGGGTTGGAGAGTCAACTATTCCATGCAATTAGCTGGTTTTCCTCAGAAAAATTTAACCAATCTGTCTATGATACCTGTATAAATGTAATTGAATAAAAATGTTTTAAGGGCATATTTTCTCGTTGTTTCTCCAGATTGAAATAAATTTTCTATCAATTTCATGTTAAATTTGTGTATTTCAGTCATATTTATGTCTTTCATTATATATTTTGGCCCTCCATATACCCAGGGATCACATCATAATGATCCTGTGACCCTCCTCTTAGAGGTCTGTGAGAGCCTTTGTGTCTGGTTGTGAGAGCAGAAAACTGGTAACAGATAATTAATCCCGGTTTTTCTCAGCTACTTTAGAACCTTTATTGAAATATCCTCGAGATTTTCAAAACACTGAGTGCCTTTCTATAAAAACAAATAATAAAACACCAAAGATTACCTGCAAAAGTCAAGCTTTCATTTAACATGTTGGTGCTTTGTAAGGATAAGACACTCAGGTTGCTTATTTAAGTGGTGAAAATAACAGTTTCCTCTGGAAGGATGTCCTTATGTAAACCAGTAGTCTTTTTATCTTTTTGAATCCCCAATTTCCTTCTACAGTCAGTTTCTCTCCCTTTGTTGCAGGTGTTTCAGCCCTCGCTCCTCCACAATCCCACAAGTATTAAGCAGGTAAGAAAAATTCAAGAATGACTGCACTTAATTCAGATGACAGATTTAATCTGGAAGATTATTCTTTATTATTTTGGCCAGAAGCGGATTTCCTTATAAATATACAGAGGGTAGACTATAATCTAAACAGATACACCAAGGTTTTTCTACTTTTACAGTCCTGATGGACCTTTGACACAGAAAATGGCGTCACCTGGTCTCATCCGTTTCACCTTTCATGATGGTCATTTAATATAGACGTAAGGAGTTAAATCAAAATGATTTATAGGCCATGATGACAGCAATTATTATTTATTAATGCTTTTTTATGACCTTACCAGTCCATATTGAATCTGATTAACTGACAGTAAAACATGACAATTGTTCAGCAAGCTTCAAAAGGAGAGGCGAAGCGTTTAGTTGTACAAACAGATCAATTCAACAAGGTGTTTTCAGTGGAAGTGCTTGGTGGGACTATGTTACGTTTTTTCTTGTAACTGGGCCAGCGACATATGGGACACCAGTGCTTACCTCCCATCAGCCATATCACAATGCACTGCTGGTGGAAGGCGTGGCCGCAGGGCAGCCCCATGAGAAGCTCCTCATTCGCAATGTTTTCTAGACACACCACGCACTCTGTGCAAGGAAGCATGTCGCTGGGCCACCCGCAACAATCACAATCCTGATCATCAGAGACTTTTTTGGGAATGCTGCCACCCTCTTCCGGCGATTTTTCAACTGTTTGGAGGCTTTCGTTTCTACAGCAGCAGCAGGATGGGGAAAGATGGGCAGATTCTGCACACTGACGGCTATTGTTGGCATCTGGGTCCCCATGCAAACCAGGGAGTCTGCTGCTAACCTGATTGCACAGACACCCTGTGTGCCTTGAGCAGATGTGTGGAAGTCTGTTTGTGCCAGCAGGAGAGGAATCTGTCGGCCTCTGGCTGCTCATTTCCGATATGTCCTGTTCATTGTCTTGATGGACACAAGAAACATCCTGGCTTTGGTGAACAAAAGCTCTAACCTTCCATGTCGGAAGAGATTTTAAATAGTCTACATTCACTAGTGGGCGAAGCCAGAGATCCGGGAAAGCCAATCGCTCAAATAAAAAGCTGGGATCGTCCTCCCACTCCGAGTGATCCGATGGGAACTGTTGCACTAAGGCGATGGGGTGAAGCAGAAAAGAGGCGTACCAGTCCCACAGGCTGGCTAACCACTCCAGGTTGGTGGTGCCGTCCTCCTGGTTTCTGGAACAACAGCGGCGTTTCTTCTCAAAGTAGTCAATCAGCAAGCCATAGGTCAGGTACGTGGACAGAAAGAGAGCTGGATGGGATGAGAAAAAAGTCCAGTCGGCTCTCACTAAACTTGCAAACGTGGTGGTGTCCGCATAACGTATCAACTTCAGACTGTAACCATACAGAGTGTCCAGATAGGGAAGCTGAAAGAGAGCCTGGGGTTGGGGGGAAAAACAAAAGAAGTTACGTTTTTATTGACCTTTCTGCTTAGCCTCTGAATGCATACACTTTAGTACCTGCAGTAAATGTTATAACCACTGATATAGGCCTACTGGATAGGACGCCGCATGACTATGAAGGACGCAGAGGAAGCATTGCTATGCATCGAGTCAGGTCTGCTGCAGAAGCAGCACCAGAGGAATTTTAAAGCCAAAGGTTTCTAAGTAGAATTATATTTCTTTGACAATTTTACTTGAGTTTGATTGAAATCTAGTGTGGATCAAATATGCAAGTGGAGAGGTATCACATGAAAGATGGTAGAAAGAAATGTTACTGCTTGACGGAGAGCTTCATAAACAGATGGGAGGGTGTGTTTGTTTACAGCACCTTTATAGTGCAGTAGGTACACACGTCCCCACTGCCTATGGATTTCTGTTTAAAGAAGAGACATATTTCTATGTACCATAACTTCTGCCATTTACAAAGCTTTGATTTAAAACATATTTTATAGCATAGCGGATGAGACATGGGGACCCTACCTCCTTATTTGTCAAGGATTCATACTTAGTACCGTTAGAACTATGGAGTGAATTTTCTGTCAAAACGTTGCATACAAAAAAGCATGTTGCACACATACACACATAAAGCATGTTTTGCAAAAATGAAGCACATTTCACACAAACAAATCTTATCACTCACAAATAAACATGTTGCACTCAAATGAATCTTATTGTTCACAAACAAAACTTGTGTTAAAAACTCAAATGTCACACATTTGTTTGCAACATGCTTCTTTGTATGCAACATTTTGGCGGAAAATATTGATGGGGATGGTTTTGTTTACTCAATGCATAGCAATGTTAGCCTGGGTGCCATTCTGAACTTGGTCCGGCCCACAAGGTTTGAGGTCGGGAAGTTCGGTCTGGCATTGCTCAATAGTAGCGCGAGTATGATCGCCCATTCTCAGGCGATCCAATCAAATTGTCAGGGCGGGCTTTATACAATGATGGACAGATGATCAACAGTAACGTAATCAACCATGTGACCAAAGCGCGCTTGGGTGACAACAACAATGGCTGGAGAGCTTAGGTGAGTAGATTCTGCTATTAGGTCTGTTCTAGAAGATATCGACAGCAAATTTATTTTAAAAGGGGAACAGAGAAACGCGATCAAGACTCATCTTCTTATTCTAGGCGTGCAACTGCACGCTTTGATTTTTGTTGACAACAACTATGCGTCGCTTAACATACGTCACGCACTCCGTTGCTCTTATTGGTTGTAGGTCTATCCAATTGAGTGCAGAGGCATTTTTTTTCCCGGTTTGTTCGAAACACGCCCCATAATCACAGCTCTATGGAGCAGTATCAGACTCATATTCTGACTAGAATTGAGTAGGACTACGTCAGGCTATAGCAATGTAGCATGTAAATGTAATTACTCAATATTCATTACTCAAAATGTCTTATTTGAAAGTCATGTACTATTATTTTGTCTTTCTAATTTTATCGCCAACCAAACTTACTATTTTGTTCCCTCTTTGTGCCAAACTGATCCGAACGGCCAATGGTATAACATCTCCCCTCATTTTTTTTTCAAACAATGCGACCTATAGCATGACACACTTTGTAATGAAGTGTGGTTAATACACACAAAACTGGCAATACTTGCAGTAAAGGTGGTTAAACACGGTATGGAAAAAAAAGGCTGTGAGTTACTGATTTACATTTGATTCATTTTGTTATTTTTGAAAGAATTAAATTTTTTTCACTCTAAAGCAGTGGTCTCCAACCCTGGTCCTCAAGATCTACTGTCCTACAGATTTTAGATGCATCCCTGCTTCAACACAGCTGAATCAAATGAATGGCTTGAAAAGGTAATCAATCATTTGATTCAGCTGTGTTGAAGCAGGGATGCATCTAAAATCTGTAGGACAGTAGATCTTGAGGACCAGTGTTGCAGACCACTGCTCTAAAGCAAGGTTTTTTTTCTGTAGAGTAAATCTGTTTCAATTGTGGAATTAAATTAATTTAAGTGTAGAAAGTGCAAAGCCTTAGGATTAGTACTGTGTGCACTCCTTATATACCGTATTTTCACGACTATAAGGCGCATATAAACGTCTTTTTTTCCCCTCAAAATGTGCGGTGCGCCCTATAGTGTGGTGCGCCCTATGTGTGTTGTTACTGCGGACATTGTTGAGACCACCATGAGAATGTTAAAGGGGGAAGAGACACGCCTATGAAGCACAGTTTAAACTGAAGGCTATCAGCTAAGAAGAGGAACATGAAAATCGAGCAGCCGCGAGAGAATTCAAGATTAATGAATCGATGGTTCGCAAGTGGAGGAAGATGGAAAACGAACTCCGACAGGTGAAGACGACGCAGCTGAGTTTCCGCGGACATAAGGCGAGGTGGCCCGAGTGGGAGGAAAGACTCGAGCGGCGTGGGAGCGATGGATGACCGACGGAGACCACAGTTTTATGAAAAGTGGAAGGCAGAGCCAGGCAAGTTACGCCACCGTTTGCGGATGGATTGTAGATGCTTGGACTAACGTGTCTGCTGGCACTGCTGTTCGAGCTTTCGCAAAAGCCGGCATCATTTCCGAGGAGCCGCCCGGCACGGAAAGTGACTCTGACAGCGAAGAAGGGGAAATTGGCATGTCTGATTTAGCGCAGCTGTTTAATTCAGAAACAGAGGATGATGACTTCGATGGGTTTGATTAATACTTTGTAATAAATACATAAATAAAGCACAATCATACTCAGTTTTGGGCCCGCTCTATTTTTAAATACGCAGTAGAGGTATTTAAACGTAGTAGAGGATATGCACCGGTATATAAAACCCGTGCCCTATAATCCGGTGCGCCTTATGTGTGTTAAATACAGTAATGGCACACATAACTGAGACTGCGCCTTTTGGTACGGTGCGCCTTATGGTCGTGAAAATACGGTACTTGTCGAATTAAATAACAAAACATAAATTTGAAGAACATTGGTTGTTCAAATGAATAATGAATTAATAAATCGACGAACATCATATAAATTTAACAAAGGAAGCTTTCAGAATGTGATGTAGATCATTTCCTACCAAAACAGGAAGCCAAGACACCAATACTACGGAGTTGTAGGTTCCAAGTGTTCTGATCAGCACAACGAATCGTTTGACTGTTGCTCCCTGTCAAAGAAAATAAATAACAATGACTGAAAATGACAAATAAATATCAACAGCAGCAAGAAAAGACCTATGATTTTATAACACGGTGACCTATTTATGAAGAGTGTGAGCTCTAAGTAAACTCTTTATATAATGTAATCCTTTTTGCCATATTTAACCCAAATAAAAACAACGTTTGCAACTAACATATCAAACGAGCAACCGTAACTACCGGGTCAACAGAACAAGCAGGAGTGTGTTACCCTAATAAACTAAAACAGTCCCCAGTTATGGCAGCATTAAACGTCCTAAGAAAGAAACCCTTCATAGATTTGGACCAGGTATTGGGGCGGCGACGCCCCATTAAAGATCTTGTATACTATAGAATAATGCAATTCATGTAAAGAGCAAAATTAAATCACTATCTGATTGTATACAGAAGTTATTTTCTGTTTAAGAAAATAAATAAGATTTTAGAGAAAATGTAAATTCACCTTACAAAAGTTCAAAAAGGAAATCCAAATGAGATGTATTTATTTGACAGAGTTAGAAAGTGGAATATTGCTAGAGTTTAAGTCATGTACATCAGTTAGTTTAAAAAAAGCTATGCACAACATTGTATTTGAAAATTACCATCCTAAGTGAAATATAGTTTATTGTATTATACCTAAACTGTTTATTGTTTTTCAGTAGAGTGTAGCTTAAATTTCTTTTAAGACAGCAGGCATTCATAAGCCTTTCAGGCATAAAATTGTCTGTGCAAACACAATGTGACTGGATGTGTCTGAATAAACTAAAACTAAACTAAACTTAAACCAAACTGAAAACTAAAATGAAAACTAAACTAAATTTAAATTAAACCTAAACTAAAGTTAAACCTCAAACTAAAGTAAAATAAAAACTAACCTTAACTTAAACTAAATTTAAACTAAACTTAAGCTAAACTAAAGTTAAACTGAATCTAAAACTGAATTATTCTTAAACTAAAGTTAAAACTAAACTTTAACTAAACCTAAATGGAACTTAAACTAATGTGATGTTAAATTTAACTAAAATCTAACTTAAAACTAAACCTAAACTAGACTAAACTCCTAAAGCTTGCAGGACACCAGTCCACCAGCACCAAAGCTGTGCGTGTAGCTGGGCCCAGATCCAATAATTTAATAACATCTAATATTAGAATGAACTTTTGGTTTGGCGGGTAACTTTGGAAATCTTTATAACAGTTTAACTTGAACTAAATTAGGTTCTGCTAACATATAGTCTGCTAACAGAACTCTAAAGTTTGTTTATGAGATGTCTGTGTAAGTCTGGGCCTGCGTCCATAAAACAAGCGATCAGCTTATCAGAGAACTTTGTTCCAGAAGAACAGCTGAAGGGCAGTAGACTGTGTTTATTTAATCTTAAGTTATGGAGGTGGATAAATATTTCCTATCACCTGAGGGCAGATGATCAGGAGATATTGTGTGACTATTTACAAAGCCTGGTTGTCCTTAAACCTCTAACGTTCTACATGCAAAAAACGTCGATCTATTCAAATCTTACAATCTTGGAGCCAACCAAAAAGACTTTATGATCTTGTTTTGTGCTTCACATAGGAAAGAAGAGCCAAATCTGTTAGAATATGAATCTAAATAAGCACAACAATCTGTCATTGCAGTAAGATGATTTCACAAATTTTTATGCAGCTGTCTGGCTTTAAACAGAGATCAACCAATAAATGTACTGTTCCAATTCACAAGAACAGTAGACCAAGAACGGAGAAAGTACCCAGATGTTGTTCTCGCCCCTCCCTCCTTACCCAGCATGCATCAGAGCAGACTTGTCCATTCCTGAAATTGACAGCTGTCCCAGCATGCACTGCGGCAGCAGCAGCTTCCAGGTTAGCGCTCACAGAGCTCAGAGTATTAAGTTAAAAGTTCACTTTTCTTTTGCTGCTGTTCAATAAAAGTACGTTTTAAGACCATTTAAGACACTAATATTATACTTTCAAGTGTCACTATGAGGCCCATTTACCAATTTAATGCATAATAAACGTTGAGAGGACCGCGGCAACCTTCAAGGCTAACAGCAGCCAGAGCTAACTACAGCCCGTCTTCAGCAGCATAGCCGTGTGTGAAGGACTGCTGGCTCTGATGGCAATTTTTTTGTTCTATTTGGCAAAATATTCATTTGATTTGTGTTTATATGACTGTGTTCATTATTATTCTCCCTCTCAATTAAAAAAGTAATAATTAATTAATAACAGGAATGAAATGCAGCTCCAGACGAGCCGAACGCGTGGCGACGTCATCAGTACGCTTCTCTTCCAATTGACCCAGACTCATGCTACGTGCTCCCGTTCTCCTAGAGCCCAGACTTTCCTGTGTTCTTGTCAAGAATATACCGTACTTGGCGAGGACACGAGTCCGAGTTCTAGTGAATTGAGAAACAGCAGAAGTTTCAGAACCATCTGCCAATGCATATGAAAAATCTCCCTTTACTGTTCAATTTAAAAAGTCTTTTATAATCTGCTTTCACGCATGCTTTTAAATCGATTCTTTTAGGTTGTTTTTCCACTTTTTCCCCTTTAATCTTTTTTTATTTTTTTTTTATGTTCTCGATTAAGTTGTGCCCCACCTAAAGCGGCTAATTAATGTAGTAGCAGCAATATCAGGAGAAAGCACTTTTTGCCTGGCGTCAATCAAGCATCTGAATAAAACTGAATGACTGACCTGTGTGATGAAGAGATCCATCCATGCCAGTAGATTTATGAGCACCAGGCTGAGGACAAATAAATCATTGACTTCTGGTTGGACCGAACGTAGGAATGTATCCATGGCAGCAAGAGACAGAAACTCCCCGGTACTTCAGAAAGAAAGAAAACAATAAATGAAAGAAGAATAATATTCAGGGCAGTTACTTAAATGTACCACTACTAATGGTAGATATTGCCATATTACCTGTTACCATAGTGATAGATGCCCTCTGGCATTTTAAGTATATAAGCAGGGCTCCGTGTCACACCAATGTCTAAGAGGAAGCTCTGGTTGTCCCAGTGACGTACATCCACAAAAATAAACTCGATTCTGCCGGTGAACTTCACCGACAGCGAAGAGAAGAAGGCAGGAGGTTGGGCCAGATGAGAGAACAGAAACATCTTGATTGGATGAGCTGGGTCAGAGCGCCACTCCTTACGTAGCTGAGCGGACCGACGAACGGTTTTGATTCGACGGGAAAGATGCGAGGTCATCCACCGAAAGATGTGCTCAGTTTCAATGTTTTGTCCAGAATATTCCTTTAGCATGACTTTACCCTTGGAAGCTGAGGTTTGAGGAGCCGACATGATGAGAGTCGAGTGTTGCCAATGACGTTTGATACATGACCTGTTGGACAGAGGAAAACTAAGATGTTAGAAAGGTTTTTACGATAATCCACGTAAATAACTGAAAGCGTTGTTTCCAACTGGGCCTTAGGAAACTCCGTGGGGGAAGAAATAAATAAATGTACCATAAAACATGTTGATATTGCTTTTTAGATGTTACATTTTATCCATATTGATTTAAACATTACAGTAAATATACCATTAAATTATAAAAAGTACACTGAAATAATTAAATGCACTGTTAAATGATGAAAAATTACATTTAAAATCATACATTTGATTCATTAAAATGAATGTATCTGAAAAAAAGAATATAGTTACTTCACAAATTTTGCATATAGAGAGAAATAATTATATATTTTTAGGGGCTAACCAGTTTTTATCACTTTTATGTGTGGGGTCACAGGTTGAAACATTCGGGAACCCCTGGATTAGAGCTTTTGAGGTAAATATAAGGTTGACACTGTGTTTATTTTTGATATTTCAAGCTGAAAAAGAGTCCCAACAGGTTACAAGTTTCTGAGAAGATGTGTGCAGTAAGCAAAGACCAAGTTCAACTGTAGCACCTCCCCAATTAGTAATGTTGATATCAGTCACCTTAAACAAAAGATATCGGTCCGATATCAGCGAAAAAATTATGATCAAAACATATCGTCAGGCCGATAGAAATACTGTTTAAGATTTGTGGAACCAATTGGTTAATAATAAATGGTTGAGTTTTTGTTAAATAATATTCTCTGATCAATTCTTTTTAACACAGCCCACCTCAAAATGAGTAATAAAAGTTTGTTTGAGACAACGGGAAACTGACCTACTCTCTGAGGCAGGAACCTTTGAAAGACTCGGAGCTGAACGAAACAAAAGGTAAGAAGAACATCGGGTCAAATCCTCACCTTGCATGAGACCAATTCAACAAGTCAGCAATGCAGAAAGTTACCCATCTTGTTCCCGATGTTTGTTTTTGAATGTCTATTTAATATAACATTTGACCAAATAAAAAGTAGTAAAAAACAAAAAGAATATGTTATTTATACTGATATCAGGTCAATATCGGTTCATATAAGACGATCTAATTTTGACCTGATAGGACTATTGTTCGGGCACTTGTTGATCTTGCAGAAAAAAATATCTGATGCCATTGACAATAAATACACTGTAGGTGTGTTGTTAGACCCAAATAAAGCGTTTGATACTGTCATGGATTAATTATTGTGTAGATATGGAATTAAGAGTGCAGCTGTTTCAACGACCAAGAGTTATTTAGAGAATAGACCATAGTATGTCCACATTAAAAATACTGATTCATAGTTACTGGCAATGACCACTGGTGTCCTGCAGGGGTCAGTGTTGACTTCTTTATTACTTACTTGATTATTAATATCCTTAGTTCTGGCAAAGATTAAAAACAGATTTAAGAATAATATGATTAAATATTAGGAATCAGGTAGTACGATATTGGCTGTATTAGCTTTTTTCTAAATGTTATTATGGTACATTCATTATTTTCCAAAAATTGTATTTTGGTATGCATTATAAAAGGTAGCCATCCCTTGTGTTCTTTTTTTAGCCATCTTTTTTGCTATGGAGGGTTGGCATTATAAAGTTATTGCTTCTGCCAATAAACCCTTTTCAGACTTTTTTATGTTTATTTTATTTACGGTACAAGGAAATATACAGGCATTTATTGTATACTTGTGAGTATTAAATAAATATCACAATTATTATCATGTTTGCCACTGAAACGTGTTGCTGCACCTGCTGCTAACTCATTTTTGTTTTCTTTAGAGACCAAAACTCAATAGTCTAAATCCACTTTAAAACAGAAACAACCTAAACACATACATAAAAAAAAAAAAAGAAAAATCCCAGAAGCATCCTGCCAAAATGCGTAAAGTGTGAACAAAGGTCATTCAAAAGGACTTGTGTAATCACTAAACCTTTTTTTGTTAAAACTGAGTGTTCATCGTTTTAAAAAGCATCTTCTGGAAGGAAGAAGGCAGAGTTTACCTATAGTCATTGGAGCAGTTGAAGGTCCCAGTTCTGATTCCAAACTGAGACAGTTTCTGAACCATTATTCCCCAACTGGACTGACTGAGAACAGCTTCCTGGTCCCGTGCTATAACCTGCAACCACATATGTAGAGATCAGGTCAGAAAGTTGTAATTGTATTTTGAATACACGGTGGATGCAGAGATGTTTTTCCTTCTCTCTCCTAGCCTGGCCAGCCAGACTGACTTACTGTTCATGGTATACACAGCACATCCACTGAAGCAGGAGAATCCAATCAGCACAGTTAATTTCATTGTGCAGGTTGGAATTACCTGGTTTAGTGGTTGGGCAAAACAAATACACAGAGATGACTCTGGGACCCCACGATGCCCACCTCCAGCAGCTAATGCCTGATTTCAAAGCCAAGATCAGGACTATCAGTCCAAAGAAACTGTTTAAAACCAATCAGATAACTTGGGATGTGATGCAGAAAACCACAGCAGCCAATTAATACGGAAGAGGAGTAGGGCCACTGAAAAATGTAAAAAAGATAGCTGTTCTTTAAATTTAATTTCATTTTAATATAAGAAAAAAGTCAGAATACTGACTTTTTTTCTCACAATACTGACTTTTTTTCCCCATATTAAATGTTAAAAATGTTAACTTATTTATTTTTATTTTTTCAATGGCCCTAATCCTCTTCTGTAAATTTAGGATATACGGAAGAGGAGTAGGGCCACTGAAAAAAAATAAAAAACTTTATTTCAGTTTAAAATAAGATTTTAAGATTGAGTTCTATGAATTGATTTCTTTTTTTATTTTGCCTTTTATAAAACGCATGAAGTCATTTTCTTGACTTCATACAGGGTTTCCGCGGGTCATTAAAGGTCATTAAAAGTAATTAAATACATTTTCTGAAAATCAAGGCCTTAAATAACATTAAAAAGCATTAATTTCAACGTCTGGAGGCATTGAAAAGTACAAACACTTGATGGAACAAAAACAATGTTGTTCACAATTTATGTTGACTACAAAAACATTGTTTTGTTTAGTAGGATAGTGTGATAATCAGGCGGAACCTATAATTGACTACTGGGTACAGCTGGTGCACAAAGTTAAAACACTCGATCCAACGTGCTGTCTGTGTCGCATATACGTGCTGTGGTGAAAGAGCAAAGCTAATTTTAGGACAAAATGGGAAAATGTAACTTTCAGCAAAAGTGGTTGGAGGATGAACGATTCAAAACGTGGTTAAAACCCCGAAATCCCACGTCCTCCCTCACCGCTCCGCTGCGCTCCAGACCCCCTGGGCAAAGCAAAGCCTACAGCCTCTGCTCTTCCTCCAGTCTTCCTCCACTCCGACTTCCTTGGAGTTTGAGGAAAGCATGCGCTATATTATTAAATTCAAAGCAGCAAAACAGGGTTTCTGCAGATCATTACAAATCATTGTCATTAAATTATTTTGTAAATGTTATTGGCACTAATTAAATCTGATTATTGTGGCATTTGAAATGTTTTATTTAAAAAAAATGTTTATAAAGACAATTTCATCAAATATATTATATCGCGATTAATTTGCGCGGAACTGCTTTCAGTTGATCATGAAGCGGCTGTTTGGAAAAGAAGCTTGAGGCGGAGAAAAAGCTAGAGAATAGGAAAATGCAAATTTCAAAATCCATATCTACATATATATTTCTCTATATCTATCTATCTATCTATCTATCTATCTATCTATCTATCTATCTATCTATCTATCTATCTATCTATCTATCTCTCTCTACCTACCTACCTATTTACTTATATCTATCTACCTATATCTACCTATATCTACCTACCTACCTACCTACCTACCTATTTACTTATATCTATCTATCTATATCTACCTATATCTACCTACCTACCTACCTACCTATTTACTTATATCTATCTATCTATCTATCTATCTATCTATCTATCTATCTATCTATCTATCTATCTATCTATCTATCTATCTATCTATTGTTAAAGAAAAATGATTATTTTTTAGACTTTAATACAGTTAATCTTATGGCATGTGTAAACACTCTCACTTGAACATATTTCTTAATTTTGAACAAGGCTGTGTTAATGATTTAAAACTACTAATGGATAAGTATTTAGACCACCAGCCCATAGAATGAGTATCTCCTGGGGGGTGAATAACAGTTAAGCCTGCAGGAGAGATTTCTGCTTGGTTTACAGAAGGTCAAAAGTCTTCCAGAATAAACAACCAGGGATGATGAGGCCCCCCGCATTCCACAAGCTGTCTGTGAGAGCTTATCTTGTGTTTTATGACTTTAGGAATTCTAGATGCCAGGACAAGCTTTCCGCCTTTTCTTGTTAAAACAAAGAAGCAAATGACCCCAGATGTTTGCAGTAAATAAGGGGAAGCCCAAGCAGTGTCAGAGATGGCGTTTGGTTGGAGGACCGAGGGCCAGCCCCTTTTTGAATGGATTAGATACAAGAGGATAAAGCTTTCTAAATAGAAGAAAAAGATCAGATTTTGCTCTTGCAAACTCTCCAAAGATGTCTTGTACGTCTTTGCCTTCTTTCCTCCTATGTCAGGTAATGGAATGTATGTCTCTGTTGTTCTGCAGTTTCTGGTGTAGGTTTGTGCATTGTCTTATTTCTAAAGTGTATGCATTGTCTTATATTGGATTAAACTCTGTAATTCTGTGACGTCAACACGCCTTGCTGATTTTCATAGTGACCACACGCAGCTCGCCGGGTGGACCTGGAGAGGGAAGAAAATGAAAAGCCAACCTTTTTCCAAAGTTAACTATGTTAGAATATTTTCTTCCTTTACACTATCTATCTATCTATCTACCTATCTATCTCTACCTACCTACCTATTTACTTATATCTATCTATCTATCTATCTATCTATCTATCTATCTATCTATCTATCTATCTATCTATCTATCTCTACCTACCTACCTATTTACTTATATCTATCTATATCTACCTGTCTATATCTATCTATCTATCTATCTATCTACCTACCTACCTACCTATTTACTTATATCTATCTATCTATCTATCTATCTATCTATCTATCTATCTCTACCTACCTACCTATTTACTTATATCTATCTATCTATCTATCTATCTATCTATCTATCTATATCTATCTATCTATATCTATCTACCTATCTATCCACCTATATCTACCTATATCTACCTACCTACCTACCTACCTACCTACCTATTTACTTATATCTATCTACCTATATCTACCTATATCTACCTACCTACCTACCTATTTACTTATATCTATCTATCTATCTATCTATCTATCTATCCATCTATCCATCTATATCTACCTATCTATCTCTACCTACCTACCTATTTACTTATATCTATCTATATCTACCTGTCTATATCTATCTATCTATCTATCTATCTATCTGTCCACCTATCTATCTACCTATATCTACCTACCTATTTACTTATATCTATCTATCTATCTATCTATCTATCTATCTATCTATCTATCTATACCTACCTACCTATTTACTTATATCTATCTATCTATCTCTACCTACCTACCTATTTACTTATATCTATCTATCTATCTCTATCTATCTATCTATCTATATCTATCTACCTATATCTATCTACCTATATCTATCTACCTATCTATCCACCTATATCTACCTACCTACCTACCTATTTACTTATATCTATCTATCTATCTATCTATCTATCTATCTATCTATCTATCTATCTATCTATCTATCTATCTATATCTATCTATCTATTTACCTATATCTATCTATCTATTTACCAAAGCCATCTTGAGCGTCGGCACTAGGCTACATGTGATACAAATTAGCCAATGAGCTGCTGTCAGTCTGGGTTGCTGCTGCTGCTACTTTTAGACACAGCAGGCAAACCTGTGGCAAGCGGGCGATGAGAAAGAAGGAGAAGACAATGAAAAAAAGAAAGAGAAAGTGTGGACTGCTGGAAGAACTGCGGTGAAATGGTGAACGAAAAGTGAAATGGTGTGCTCAAAGGTGACCCTGCACATTTTGAGTATGTTTGGCTCAACCTGCTACTGTGAAGCAGGATTCTCTACCGTGAACATGAATGAGCACTGTCATTGAAACCCAGGTTTAAATCCTTGCAGGGCAGCCTAAAGCCCACTGCTCTCATTAAGCCATAAAAAAGAAAGAAAAAACAAAACAAAAAACAACGGTCAGTTCAGATATTTTATTTTAAAAAAGTGAGTCAGGAAATTGTCTATATACCAAACAGAAAAAAATTAGTTTTTAAAATGGAAAAACTTTCTATTTCTTATATTTTCTATTCAAAATTCAATTTATAACATGAATGCATAAACACCTAATTTTATTTCAGTGTTAAAAGCTGTTTAAATTAACGGATTATAATTAAAAATGTCATCCTGGTTGTTGATTTTCTTTATTCGGACCCCACTGATTTTTAATTGGTTACACCATGCCTAGTGGGTTAGAGCAGTGCGCTTGTGCTCTGAGAAGGTTGCAGGTATCCAGTTCGATCCCCACAGCCTGCACTATGGTCCTTAAGAAAGACCCTTAACCCCACACTGCTCCCCGGGCGCTACACAGTGGCAGCCCCACTGCTCCCAATGGGGATGGGTTAAAGGCAGAGATTTCAATTATTACTATTATTATGATAAGAATAAAATAAAAAATAACCTTGTTATTCTGTGTTTAGGAGGTAAATGAAAGATAAAGCAATGGGCTAGTAGGTTCTTTAGAAATAAATGGTAAATATTTATCCATCCAGTCTTTAACAGAAAAAAAAGTTTAATAAAAACTGAAATAAAAAAAAAAAAGATTTGAACTTTTTGTCTGGCTTTTTTGTTTGCCATTTTGCTGGACTACTGATGTCGAGCAGTTGACTTTAAAAACTTTCCATACGTCATTAGGCAGTTTTACATACATTTCCATGAACTTTTATAGCAAAGGTAGCCAAAGGTACAGGACTCTTTCTATCCAAGCAAAACTAATCCTGAGGCCTAAATGCAGAATAATCTTAAGGATTAAGAAACTCGCTTCGATGAGCCAAATGGCATAAAATAAAGGGCAACTGAAGCCCATAATAATTCTGCTCGGCCTTCAACCAAAGACCG